TTGTCCTTCATCTAGTGTTCTGCCAATCCTATTTAGGATGACTCGAGTGAACAACTTGTAGATGACAGACAATAGGCAGATCAGGCGATAGTTGCCAATGTCATGGATGTCTCCCTTCTTGAACAGTAGTACGGTCCTGCTGGTTTTCCATTGGGACGGAACCTTGCATTCAGACAGGTAGCGAGTGAAGAGCCAAGCCAGTGTATTGATGAGTACTGACGGCAGGTTCTTCAGGTGTTCAGGTCTGACCTTGTCTGGGCACGTACGCTAGCATCAGATGCATCCATCGAGGACCTGATGGTACAAGCGCGAATGATCAAGTACGACATCATTGGTCTGACCGAGACAAGAAGGCACGAATCTCACCATGCCGTTTTCGACACTGGAGAAGAATTGTTCCTCGGAACATGCGATAAAAGAGGTGTTGGAGGCGTCGGTGTCCTTGTCAACACAAACTTGGCCAAGAGCATTGATTCATTCGAATGCCTAACAACCCGAATCGGACGTTTACATTTGAATAGATGTGGCTCACTGCCTGCAGTTTCTATCTTTGTTGTCTACGCACCAACATCTCATTATGATGAAAGAGAAATCGAGAAGTTCTACATGGAGCTAGAGAAGTTCTATAAAGATGACCACACCTTCTACAAGATCATTGTGGGTGATTTTAATGCCAAGATAGGACCGAGAAGATCAGCTGAAGAACTTCACATCGGGACCCATGGCCTAGAATGGAACGAACAGGGTGAGAGACTGTCTGAGTTCCTCATGTCGACCAAGACCATTCATGGTAACTCACAGTTCCAGAAGGCAGAATCTAAACGATGGACATGGGAGTCTCCCGGTGGACGATTCCACAACGAAATAGACATCATATTCAATCGACGGTTTTGCCTGACTGATGTCGCTGTTGTCCCAAAATTTCGAACGGGACCACCGTCTCCTTCGTGCAAAATTCTACTTCACAGAGCGGGGAGAAAGGGCTGCAAAGTTCAAAAAGAGAACTCCCAGAATGACCACCAACTGGGAACTCTTTGGTACTATTGCGGCAACATGGGAAGATGCCATTGTTGACAACATTGACGAGGAATACGATCGACTGGTTCAGCACCTCCATGAATGTGCGAGGAACGCCAAGAGAGAGATAGTCACAAAAAATCGCCTATCTTCGAAAACTCTTGAGCTAATTCGCCAGCGTGGTTCGGCGCATGCCTCAGGCAACCGCAAGCTAACGTCCGAGCTCGCAAAGCAGTGCAGAGATGCGATCAAGGAAGACCTCAAAGAGAGAAGAGCAGAAGTACTGGTAGATGCGGCAGAAGCCGGGAAAAGTATTCGTAACGCCCGCCTGTCCTTCGCCAACTATAAGACCTAGATGACTGCCCTCCGACGTCCTGATGGATCCATCACATCCTCCAGAACGGCAATGGAGAAGATTATCCATGACTTCTACTCAAATCTCTTCGATAGCCATGTCCACTTGCCGACATACCAAATTCCACAGGATGGATATGTCGTTCCCAAAGTTCTCCCTTCCGAAATCCGACACGCCATTTCGTCGGTAAAGAAACAATCACACTAGTTCTTCATTAAATGTCTGGGAGAATTCACCATTCAAATAATCACTTCCAGGATTTTCTTTTCTTAATTTTAATTATTTTTTGTTTTGGCCAAATTTTAATTTTGGGGGGTTCTACCCAGTAATGCCCAAGGGTTACTCCTGGCCTGCACTCAGAAATTACTCCTGGCAGTGCTCAGGGGACCATATGAGATGCTGGGAATCGAACCCAGGTCGGCCACATGCAAGTACACCCTACCCACTGTACTAGCGTTCTGGATTCCTTTTTTTTTTTTGCTTTTTGGGTCACACCTGGCAATGCACAGGGGTGACTCCTGGCTCTGCACTCAGGAATTACTCCTGGCAGTACTCAGGGGACCATATGAGATGCTGGGAATCGAACCCAGGTTGGCCGCATGCAAGGCAAACATCCTACCCGCTGTGCTATCACTCCAGCCCCTCTGGACTCCTTTTTAACTTAGAAATTATAATTCAACATGCTTCCTCTCTACAGGTCTACTCAAGCTTTCCATTTCCAATCTAGTTTTGTATATTGTGCATCTCTGAGAATGTCATTTGATGTAATTTATCCAATGTGTTGGTATACAATTCATAGTCCTTTCTTGTTATTCTTTTGTTTCTGTAAAATATATAGTAGTGTCTACACTTGTCACTCAGATTTTAGCCATTTGAGTCTGCTAATTTTTTTCCACCTGCTAAGGTGTGTCAATTCTGTGGATCTTTGAGTTTTATTTTCTATATGGTCTTTCTCTTCTCTATTTCCAATCTCATTTCCTTCTTTCTCTAGCTCTCAATTTAGCTTCTTTTTCCTAGTTCCTTAGGTTGTAAGGTTAGGGTATTTTGGGTTTTTTTAACATCACTCAAATGATAAACATTTATAGCTATCAATTTTCTCTGTGGTAGGAAATACACTTTCACTGCATCTCATAATTCTGGCATTTAAAAGGGCTCTTGCAACACTGGGGGTGGGATTGAGAAACTCTGGTAGACTGGTAGAGTAGCACCACAAGGACTCAGAATTTCAACACTATTGCAAACTATAATGCCTTGACAAAACCAATTTAGCAAAAAAGTAGTTTGACCTGTGTTTTTATTTTTCAGTCCCTCAGTAATTTTAAACTTCTCTTGTGATTTCTTCTTTGCTCCATAGCTGTCAATTTTCCGCAAATTTGTCAATTTTCTACTCTTCAATTCTGTTACTAATTTCTAACATCTGCCCTCTGTTGTTAGGGAAAATACTTTGCATAATTTCTTTTTCCATCCACCAAGATTAATTTCTTGACTTAACATACAGCCTGCCCTAGAAAAAGTCCTGTGTGTCCTTGAGAATAAATCCTGCATTTTTGCTCTGTTCTACTTGCCTGTTAAATCTAGTTGATTTAGGGTCACACGTAGCTGACCTGGGTTTGATCCCCAGCACCATGTGTGGTCCCGAGTCAGCTACCAGTGATACCAGCGTGGAAAGCCAGGAGTGAGTCCTGAGAACCACCGGGCATGGCCCAAAAACAAAACAGATATAGTTGAATTTGTTGTTCTCTATTTTCTTACTTACCTTCTACTTTTTTGTTTGTTTGTTTGTTTTGGGTCACACCTGGCAATGAACAGTGGTTACTCCTGGCTCTTCACTCAGGAATTACTCCTGGTGGTGCTCAGGGGACCGTATTGGATGCTGGGAATCAAACCTGGGTTGGTCGCGTGCAAGGCATACGCCCTACCTGCTGTGCTATCGCTCCAGCCCCTACTTCTTGTTTTTGAATGAAGTGTTCAAATCTAGAATTATTACAGTAGAACTATCCGATTCTCTCTTCAATCTGCTAAACTCTGTTTTGTACATTTTTATAGTTTGTCATTAGGTCCACAAATGTATTAAATGTTGTATCTCATTGCCGAATTGAAAATTTTACTAATATTTAATGCCCTTTGTCCCTTGAACCATTTTGAAATTTAATGGCAGTTTTGTCTATCATTAGTATAAATACTCCTGCATTTTTGAAGCTACTTTTGTACAAAATAACTTTTTTTGTCCATTCACTTTCAACTGTTTTTGTTTTGGGATCTCAAATGAGTCTCTTGTAGATAGCATAGAGTTGAATTATAGGGAATTTTTAGTGTGTGTTTTGTTTTGTGTTTTTTTTTTTGTGGGGGGGGCACACCTGGAAATGCTCAGGAGTTACTCCCATGCCTGGTAAAGTCAGACTGACTATTTCAGTGCTAGAGCCCAGGGTGTGCAGTGGCGTAGGCCATGAGGTGTTGGGGACTGCCAGGTCACCCTGGTGGTACTCAGGGATGTCCAGTGCTGGTGGGGTGGGGAAAACACACTGTTGGGATTTGAACTTGTGTCCCCATGAGTGCTTCGCATGCACCCAAGTCATTGTCTCCTCAGTTCCATGCACTTAATTTCAAAAGTATTCAAAATTATTCCCCACCTCAGGCAAAAACTAGATGCTCTGAGCACATGACGACAGGAAGTCTCAGAGGGGACCAGAACTCTGTAGCTCTGGTTCCAAAGGCTTCTTCTGTCCAGACCTGCTGTGTGGGTACAGGGATGCTAAGGCGTCCACTCCACGAAGGAAGGCCTTCGTGGGTATTCCCGGCACTCAGGAAAGCCATCGACAAAAGCAGTCATCCAGTGAACTGCTGGCGGACACACTGCAGGTCCAGCTGGTCAAAGTGAGGCTGGAGCAAGGAAAACCACATAGCAAGCAGGGCTGGGGTGGAGAGTCAGGCCCAGGTTCTCGACTTCGGGCCCTACCGCCAGCGTCAGGGGGTCCCCTGGGCCACTTATGGGTGCTCAGCTCTGAGGTCCGCTCCCAGCAGCCCTGAACACCGCCTCCCCACCTTATTCCGCTTCCCCGGTGGGACTTGGCTGCTTCCTACAGCCTGGCCCTGTTTTCTCCAGCCCCCAGACTCGGGCTACCAGGCCAGGGCTCACGGTGATGTGGTTTGGTTTCGCCAGCCACCCACTCTGTCCCCTTCAACCTTCTCTGAGTGTCTTCTCAATAGGGCTGTGTCTTTCTCTGTTCCCTGAAGCACCCCAGTTAGGTCCGAGGCCCTCTGTTCAGACCCTGGCTCCCACGTGCCAGGGAAGGAGGGATGCTGAGTCCTCTGGGGGGAAAGGGGGAGTCTGAGGCACTGGAAGAGGCAGGACCTTGAGGGTTGGGTTGGGCTGATGCTTCGGGTGTAGGGGTCCGAGCCCCAGGAGTGCGTGCTCAGATCATGAGCCGGCACTGGGACGGGCTGGGTGGGGAAGATGGGCTTGGACGCCGAGGACCTGGTCCAGGGCGGCTGCGTTCCCAGCTAGGGCAGTCTGCCTACCAGGAAACCCAATCAGATCCTGGCACCAGCTTAGACAGGGCAACCCCTGCCCCTTCCATGCTTGCCAGGACTAAAGATGGATCACAAAACTTCCCGGAAATCCTGATACCTGATTTCTTCTTGGCATCCTTTCCGGTCGAGAGGGAGAAGCTAAGACAGCCAGAACCAGGCTCGTAGATCAGCTGGTAAGGCGAGTTCACGCCCATGACGGAGAAACTCGTGAAGGACTCTGGGGTGGGAGGGAAAAGGAGACTTATTTGAATCTCTAAAAGCCGACTTGACTTTTAACCCCAAACGGAAAGGGCCCTTTAGTTCTGACGGGACGCTGGAGTCGATATTCCCAGGTACGCAGCTGCTGGTCGAAAACGATCCCCGCTCCTGGGAGGAAAACACTCACCCCCTCCCCCGCCGTCCTCGAGACTGTGGCCAGGACGGCTCCCTCGGTCACGTGTCTGCGGGGACAGCGCTCTCGGCTGGGGTGCTCACAACCCCCTCAGTGGTGGTCTGGCTCGAACATCACCAAGGCCGCGCTGCTGGGGACCACGCTGGGCCTGCCTGGGCTCGATGGGGTTCTCAGGGGGACCGTGACGTTTCCTGCCCATGGCCTGGCCACCTCCCATCTCTCTCCAGGGGAACATCAGAGCAAGGTGCAGGGTGTACAGGCCTCGTGGGTGAGGGCAGGCAGAGCCACTGCACACGGCACTGGGACTCAGCACTGGGCGGCTGGAAGGACAGTCACCGGCTCTTACTCACAAGGCTGCAGCACATAGCAGCCTTGTACAGACTCGCACTGGGGTAGAATCATTTGCTGTTTGTGTTTGACTTTTTTCTTGGGGGTAGGGGAGCACCTGGCGGGGATGCTCAGGGGTTACTCTTGGTTCTGCACCCAGGGATCACGCCTGGCAGGCTCAGGGGACCGTATCAGATGTAGGGATCAAACCCAGGTCAGCCGTGTGCCAAGCAATGCCCTCCTGAATGCACTGTCCATCCAGTCCCCAGGGGTAGAGTCCATTGATCTGACCAGATTAGAGTTCAAATTCAGTATCGCCTTGCAAGAGGCAAACGAAGGCAGAATTTCCTGACCCCGCACCAGGCTGTCTTCACTGTGGCACTTCGGAAGGGGGCACCCCAAGCAGAACCCAGCAGCTGAAAACCTCCAGAACCCAACTGCCGCCATACTCAAGGCCACTCTCCACATGCTCAGAGGGGCCTCATCTAAGAGGGAACCAGCAAAAAAACCCAGATATGCAGGACCCATGACTGAGATCTCCAAGATCGGGACTGGGCCTCCTGTCCCCAGCTCCCCAGTTTTCCAGTAGCTTGGCAGTCACCCCATGAAATGCCCCCAGCGCCATGTAATCTCATCAACGGCTAAGACCTAGAGACTATAAACTAAAGCTCCTGGAAGAGAGCACTGCAGAATTTCCTGGAGCACGAGACCTCTTATACTCTAGCCAACTTACGTACCAAAAGTAGCACACATCTGTTTGGTTTTAACATTCTTGCTTGTATTCTCTTATGGGCTTAAATGGCTCCAGAATGAAATACAGCAACCTTCACACACTTCCCTCTTATTGTGGTGGGAAGGTGCTCTGTGGTGGGATTGCTGTTTGAATATTATCTGTAATATTTGAATATTATCTGTAATATCTTGAATATTATCAGTAATGAACTACTGTGAACACTTTTATGAAAATAAAATATATAAAAATTGCAAAATAAATAAAAAGAGGCAAACGAACATCATCCTTCCATAAACCCCATCAGATCACACCTTCCCCCATCACCTCCCATCGATGACACTGAGAACACAGTTAGAAAATCTGACACAAGTCCTACAGCCTGGCTCTTCACATTCATAAGGAAATTAGCCAACCCAGTCTCCGAAGCAGAAAAAGCTGCCTGCGAGGCCGCATCAGGGAGATTAAACCTTCCTTGGTTGGAGCTGGAGTAATAGGACAGCGGGTAGTGCGTTTGCCTTACACGTGACCAACCCGGGTTCGATTCCCAGCATCCCATATGGTCCCCTGAGCACTGCCAGGAGTAATTCCTGAGTGCAGAGCCAGGAGTAATCTCTGTGCATTGCCGGGTATGACCCCACCCAAAAAAAGCAAAAAAAAAAAAAAAAAAAGCAACCTTCCTTGGTGATCCCAAAGTTGAACTCAGAACAATTTTCAGTACCTTGTAACTTAGCAGAAATAAGGAAGAATAACGTTTGCTGAGACTAGTAAAGAGTGCATCAAATTAGTCAGTTCTGCCACTATAGACGAAAAGATCCACCTAGGAGGCACCACAGAGCCAGAGTTGCTCCCGGCTGAGCCCCTCTGCCCCCGAGCCTGTCCAGGGAGCTTCACCGCAGAGACCAGACCCAGGAAGAAAGAGAACAGAAGGTGCCACAGACCATGTTCACCACGCCAGTAACACAGAAAACCAGAACTTAAATGGTTGATGATGGAACAGAAAGTCTCCAGCCATCCAAATGACAATTAGTAAAAGCAACCAGAGAGTTTGAAAAATATATGTTAGGGACAGGAAACAGAGACAGAAAAATCACAGTAACTTTGTAATCCACAGTGATTCCATAAAAAAAGAAATAAAAAAACTCAGTATTCTTAACACACACACACACACACACACACACACACACACACACCAAGACCTACAGAAATGAAACAAACATAGCTCTGAGACATGATTTTCTTTCTTTTTAATTTGAGTAATATTGCTGTCGTGTTATTTTAATAAATTAAATAACTTAAATAAATAATATGCTTAATTATTGAACCACTGAGCCCATGGCAAGTCAAGCATCTGGTTCTTTTTCCCCATCCACCAGGGCTAGCAGTCCTGGGGGGTGGTGTTCTCAGTGTGGACTTGCGGCTTAGCAAGGGGGACATTCTGGGGGCAGTTTCATGGGAAGACTCCCACTTGGTCCCATGGGGCCACCTCGTCCAGTAAAATGGCCCAGGGTCGTGGGGCTTCCTGGCACAGCTCCTTGACCATCTTCGCTGCTGGCTTGTGCCGGGAAACTCCAGGTCGAGTCCCAGCCTTGAGGAGGGTGAGCTGTTGCCAAGGAAACGGGCACTCCCCAGTGATGATGGCCAGGGTTTGACCTTTTGGCTTTTTTGGTTTGGCTTTGTTTTGTTTGGGCCACACCTAGAGATACTCAGGGGTTCCTCCTGGCCCTGGTCTCAGGAATTACTCCTGGTGGTGCTCAGTGGACTATCTGGGGTGCCAGGATCAAACCCAGGTTGGCCGCATGCAAGGCAAATGCCCTCCCTGCTGTAGGATCACTCTGGCCCCTGTGGCTGGGGCTTGCTATTAGGGAGAGCCGACGTGTGTGGTGTCTGTGAAGCTCAGTGTTCCACTTCTGCATCAGCTCATAGAAACCCCGTGACACCTCATGACACTCTGTCCCAGCTAGTCCATACAGCCACAGAATCCACCTTCCTCTTCCTGTCTCGTGATTTGCAGGTAATGCATCCTTTTCTGCCCCTATATAACCATTATCCTCCCCAAAATATTTTGTCATGTGACTAGGAGTCTGTAGCCATTGTGGGTGGTTTTCACTCAGTCACGTGCACACACAAGTCTTTGAGCATCCATAGGCCTAGACCAACAAATTGTTTTCTTGTTCCCGGGGTTCCCATAACTACAGCCCAGCAAGGCCAAACTTGTGCAAAATAAATAGTTTGAATCTTTTTTTGTTTTCACTCTCAAAAAAAAAAAATTCAAGTCCCATGAAGGATGTTTTTCTGAAAGGCTTGGCCCCTTCATTTATATTTTTTATTTAGATTTGGCTTTTGTTTATTTGGGGGCCCACACCTGGCTCTAATGGAGTGCAGGGGGCTGAACCTGGGTCAACCACACCCTGTCCTCTGTCCCTGCCCCTGTCCTCTGTCCCTGCCTGGGCCCCTATTTAGATGGTCTGAAGCTCATGCCTGAGAGAGGCGTTCACAGTGCTCCAGCATCGTGTGCAGAAACCACAAAGCGCCTGTCCCCGAAAGAGACTTTCTCAGTGCTCTGCAAAGACGGAGATGCCGGAGCTATAACGTGCTCCCCAACTTCACTCAATTTCCCCAACTCTCCTCCCATAAATTTTACCACACTCATCAGGGACAGGGAGCCCCCATGTCACAGAAGGGCCTGGAGAAGAGGGGTCGCCGACTGCTTCCTTTTTGCCCAGGTGGGGACCGTGTCGGGCAGAAAAGCAGGACCGGGGTGGGCACTTGCTGGCCACCTCCTGGGGACCAACTCCCCATCCAGCAAACCACCAGGCAGGAGGACTGCAAGGGACCAGATTCCACAAGCTAATGACCCACGTCTGCCCAGTCCATGAGTGTAGCAGGACCCAGGGCCCTGAGCACCACAGAGCAGCTAACCCATAGCAGAATGCAGGGGTTCAGGGGGCTGGAGGGAGATGATGGGTTGAGGGGCTGGGCAGGGAAGGGAGGGCAGGGGGAGGGACTTCCCTTGCATGCGGCCAACCCTGGTTCAGGCCCCGTCACCCACGGTCCCTGTGCCCAGGAGAGAAAGTGCTGGGCTTGCAGAAACAGCTTCTGCCTCACAGACACCAAACCAAACAGTCCCCCCTCAAGCCTTCCCACCTGAGGTGACATGCTCACCCATTTAGTTGCTCACACCTCTCTTCCAACTAAACTGGGGGTGCCCTTTCCAACTGTTTTGCTTGGGGCAATGGAGTTTGGGACACACTCAGCGATGCTCAGGGGTTACTCCCAGCTCTGCACTCAAGGATCACTCCTGGTGGTGCTCAGGGAACCCTAGGGGATGCCGGGAATGGACCCTGGGTAGGCCGTGTGATGGGCAAACGCCCTCCCCGCTGTGCCATCGCTCTGGGCACTTCGTTGCGTTCTTGTTGGTGCTGCTGGAACTCTCACCTCAGGACTGCAGCGCGGGGACCCACCTTTCCACAACTGTCTGACATCGTAGCCGCTTCTCCTGACTACGCTGATCAGGCGGTGGAAAGCCATCTCCTTGGCGTTGACGTGGAGCAGCTGACTGGCCTCCATAAAGCGCCTCGTGACGTCCACGGGGTTGGAACCTGGTAAGGGAGTCAACAAAGACACCTCAGTTCCCTCCCAGCACAGGGCCGTGCTTGCAGAGAAGGCCTCTGTAAGCGACCCAGAAAGTACGGATAAAAATGGGGCCCATGAAAACACAGTGAAGAAAAGCCATAAGCACATCTACATTCACTGCAGCACTGTTCACAGCAGTCAGAATCTGGAAAACAACCTGAGTGCCCGACCACAGACAACTGGGTAAAGAAACTGTGGTATATCTATATAATGGAATACTACACAGCCACTAGGAAAAAAATGAAGCCATGAAAATTCATTAATAAATGGATGGACATGGAGAGTATCATGCTGAGTGAAATGAGGCAGAGGCTGGTCAAAGAAACTTTGGTACATCTACACAGTGGAATACTATGCAGCTGTTAGGAAAGATGAAATCATGAAATTTGCTTATAAGTGGATGGTTACGGAGAGTATCATGCTAAGTGAAATGAGTCAGAAAGAGAGGGACAGACATAGAATGACTGCACTCATTTGTGGAATATAAAACAACATAATATGAGACTGACACCCAAGGACAATAGAGACAAGAACCAGGAAGATTGCTCCATGGTTGGAAGCTTGCCTCATGAACTGGGGGAGAAGAAAGCTGGGATAGAGATCACTAAGTCAATGATAGTTGGAGGGATCGCTCAGGATGAAGATGTGTGCTGAAAGTAGATAAAAGACCAAACATGATGGACTCTCAGTATCTGTATTGCAAACCATAGTGCCCAAAACTAGAGAGAGAGTAAGAGGGAAATTGTCTGCCACAGAGGCAGGGGAAGGGGTAGGATGGGGGGGGTGTATACCAGGGACATTGGTGGTGGAGAATGCACACTGGTGGAGGGATGGGTGTTTGATCATTATGTGACTGAAACTCAAACATGAAAGCTCTGAAAGTGAATCTCACAGTGATTCAAGAAAGAAAGAAAGAAAGAAAGAAAGAAAGAAAGAAAGAAAGAAAGAAAGAGAGAGAGAGAGGAAGGAAGGAAGGAAGGAAGGAAGGAAGGAAGGAAGGAAGAAAAAAAGAAAGAAAGAAAGAAAGAAAGAAAGAAAGAAAGAAAGAGAAAGAGAAAGAAAGAAGAAATGAGTCAGAGGGAGAGGACAGACATAGAATGATCACACTAATCTGCAGGATATAAAAAAAAACATAGTATGAGACTAATACCCGAGGACAGTAGAAACAGGGGCCAGGAGGACTGGTCAATGGCGGGAACTTGCCACAAGTGGCGGGGTGGGGGCGGGGGTGAAGGAGAGGCAGTTGGGACAGAGAAGAGACCACTAAGGAATGAGGGCTGGAAATGATCACTCTGGACAAGAAATGAGTGCTGAAAAGTGGTAAAGGGATGTACATGATACCCGTTCAGTACCTGTCTTGCAACCAATAATGCCCAAAAGTGGTACAGGCAAGCTATGGGGGGCAGAGGGGGCAGGGGGGTAGCAGGAGGGAAACTGGGGACATTGGTGGTGGGAAATTTCACTGCTGAAGGGATGGGTGTTGGAATCTTATATGACTGAAACCCAATTATGAACAACTTTGTAAATGTATCTCATAGTGATTCAATTAAAAAATATTTTTATTTTATAGGGTCCTGGTGGGGCGGATACATTCCCCATTCTGCCGAAAGACTCAGCATTCCCAGCCATACCTAACACCCTTCAGTACAGAAAAAGCCCAGAGACACAACTGAACCTCACCAAGTCACCTGTCACTGTCACTGTCCTCCCACTGTTCATCGATTTTCTCAAGTGGGCCCAGTAACGTCTCCATTGTGAGACTTTGATGTTATTGTGTTTAGCATATCAAATATGTCACAGGGAGCTTGCCAGGCTTTGCTGTGCGGGCAAGATACTCTCGGTAGCTTGCCAGGCTCTCTGAGAGGGGCGGAAGAATCGAACTCAGGTTGGCCAAGTTGGCTGAGTGCAAGGCAAACACCCTACCCGCTGTGCTATCGCTCCAACCCAACCAAGTTATCAAGCCACTAAATTGTTCCAGTTTCTGATGTGCACTACCATATACTTGGCCACCCAACACCTTCAAACTTCACAGTCCTGCCAGCCAAATCGGACCACAGCAAATTTGATAGCAAAGTTGCATAGAAGGCCACCAAGTTCACTGAGCAAAAAGAATGAATACAGAAAGGTTCAACTAGCACCAACCATTCCAGTAAATCCTCAGTGACTGTAACACCACTATGAAATAGAATATTAATCACAAATTGACTTTTATTGATCCATTTTTTTATAATTCCATTTGCCTTTGTGTTGTAACAAGCAACATGAAGTAAATTTGTGCTTGCTAAGGGGGCAGGCTGGGGTGGTGGGTGGGAAACTTGGACATTGGTGGAGGGAAGGTCACACTGGTGGTGCAATTGATGGTGGAACTCTGAGCACCTTAAACAACTGAATTATGAACAACTTTGTAAAATGTGGTGTGCTAATTTTTTTTAATGGGGACCAGGAGATGGATCAAAGGGCTTCCACTCGGTGTGGACTCCCCTAAAATCACTGTCACTGTCACTGTCACTGTTCTCCCATTGTTCATTGATTTGCTCAAGCAGGCCCAGTAACATTGTGGGACTTGTTACTGTGTTTGGCATATCGAATACGCCACGGGTAGCTAGCCAGGCTTCGCAGTGCGGGTGAGATACTCTTGATAGCTTGCCAGGCTCTCCAAGAGGGGCAGAGGAATCGAACTCGGGTCGGCCATGTTAGCTGCTAGCAAGGCAAACGCCCTACCTGCTGTGCTATCGCTCCTGCTATCATGCAAGATTCCCCTAAAATACACCCCAAAGATAAATAAGGGTAAAGCTCTATGGTGAGGGCCAGCAGGTGTGTGGGGCTCCCAATAAAAGGCCTCAAGTTCTCAAGACCTGGGAGGTGACTTTGCCCTCTGTCCCCATGACTCACTTCTCTCTCATGTCTGGAAAGCTGTTGGCATATAGAATAATGCAGCATCTAGAAATCCTGATTAGTAGTAGAGCTCAAAGGCATATAAAAGGACACTGGGATATGAAAAATATTCCAGGTTCATGGTTTGGAAAAAGGAACATTCTCCAAAAGACCGTCTGGCCCAAAGCACTACACAGGATCAATGCAACCCCCTCGAAACTCCCATGACAGTCTTCAAGGACTCAAAACACACTCTACTGAGATTTATTTGGAATCCTAAAACTGTCACTGTCACGGTCACGGTCCTCCCCTTGTTCATCGATTTGCTCGAGTGGGCCCAGTGACGTCTCCATCATGAGACTTGTTGTTACTGTGTTTGGCATATCGAATGCATCACGGGTAGCTTGCCAGGCTTTGCCATGCGGGCGAGATACTCTCAGTAGCTTGCTGGGCTCTCCGAGAGGGGCGGAAAAATTGAACCCAGCTCGGCCGGGCTGGCTGTGCGCCAGGCAAACACCCTACCACTGAAACAGCCAAAGAAATCCTGATTTTAGAAAAAAATACTAAACTATATAATATAAAACTGTAATGATCAAAACTGTTTGGGTCTGAGACCAGTGGAACCAGGAGTGCTGAGAAGTCCTCGGGCTGGTGACATTAAGTCAAACCCCAAGGCTGGGTGCAGGAAGACACAGATGAGCCAAAAGAAGGGAAAAGCTCTTCAATAAAGGCGGGGGTGGGAAAACTGAATGGCCACGTGTTAAAAAGACAACAGCAAATTAAATTGGAATAGAATCTCACACTACTCACCAAAAACAATCCAAAGCGGATTAAAGACCTTGAAATTAGACAACACAATACATAACATACATTCAGGAAAATATAGACAAACTCTCCAGACCTGTCTTTAATGATTCGACTCTACTGGCAAATATAACAAAAACAAAAAAATAAACAAATGGGACTACATCAAATTGGAAAGCTTTAACACCACAGAAGAAACTAAGCTAAAATAAAATTTTAAAGGACCTACTGAATGGAAGATATATGTGCATACCACACACAGATATGTAAGAAATACTGAGAACTCATAAAGCTCAACAACAACAACAACATGAATAAATCCATCAAAAACTGGGGAGAGGAGGTAAGTAGGCACTTCCCCAAAGAAGACTTGCTAATGGCCAGCAGGCATGTGCAAAAGGCTTCACTACCATTTCCAGAAAAAAGCAACTCAAAACAGCATGAGGCAGCATTTCACACTGTGAGAATGGCACCTGTCAAAAAGACCAGAAATCACCAGCATTGGGGGCGTGGTGGAAACCGGAAGCCTCACTCACTGGAGGTGGGAATCCTCCGATTTATCCTCTATGGAAAGCAGCATGGAGAAGTCTCAAAAAGAAAGAATAGAACACGCGTATAACCCAGCAGTTCCACTTGCTGGCATCTACCCCCAAGACACAAAAAGTATTTAGTTTAAAAGATATACACACACCCCTGTTCACTGCAGTGCTCAATACAATAGTCAAGATGTGGGAACAAACCCAAAGTTCGATGACAGATGAATTGATATGGTAGTTGTGACATATGGACACGCAATAGAATACTACACAGCCATGAGAAAAGATTAAGTGGTGCTGTTCACTGCAAGGGAGATGGAGCTGGGGGTATCAGGTGAACAACTAAGTCAGAGGGAAAGGACCAGACGCTTTCACTTACCTGGGAGACACAGAGAGGCAGCATGAGAACAGACGGTACTGAACAATGATATGCCCTTGACTTTGGACCCCAAAACGTATTCCCAAGCAGTGAGGGGCAGGGAAGAGGGGGTGGAATATAGCCAGGGGTAGCACAGGACAGCAGGGATAGTGGTGGGCGCTCTGATAGGGGTGGGTGCAGTAACTCTGTACATCAATACCATAAACGAACACTATTGTAACCATTTCCCCTAAACTACAATTAGAAAATAAAAGTGGAGAACAGAGCAGGGCGAGAGGACTTTCATTCTAACGGCAGATGACGGATGACAGCAAAACGTGGACACACACAGAACATACATGCACACTAAGACACAGAAACACAAGCACGGCCTAGTTATGCCCACAAGCTTCCACCGGGCACCATCTTGGCACACCAAAAGCCCTGATCCAAAGACTCCCAATTGAATCCCAAAATAGATTAGAGCCCTTCAGAGATGTCTCTGGGACCCAGCCAACTACAACGCAGGGACCCAGAAGCATGTGGCAGCTTTGTGGCCGTGCAAACTCTCATGCTATTAAAAAATGAGCAATGGAAAATAAATTATCTAGCATCTGCCCCAGTAGACAGGCTTGGATGGTGGTGGGAAAATTTGGAAAAAACATAATGTCCAAAAGTAGAGAGAGTATTAGGGAAATTGTCTGCCATAGAGGCAGGGCAAGGACTGGGATGGGTGGGATACTGGGGACATTGGTGGTAGAAAATGTGCACTGGTGGAGGATGGGTGTTCGATCATAGTATGGCTGAATCTCAAACATGAAAGTTTTGTGACTGCATTTCACGGCGATTCAATACATTTTTTGGAAAAATGCATATACACGTGTGTTCACGAGACACACCAGCATGTACACTCCCAGAGCCACAGGCACACAGACGCTCATGTGCAGAGACACACACATACACATACATGTACATACACACACATGCACAAAACCCTCCCGGAAGGAAACCAAACCAAGCCAGGACTCTGGCCAAGCCAGTCTCACCAGACATGGACTCCAGCATGGCCTTCATCTTCAGGCTGAGGAGCTCGGTCAGCAGGTGGACAGAGCGTCGCTGGAACTGGTGCAGGGTGTCCAGGCTGAGTTCCGAGGTCGGGGCCCCCGGGTGGTGGCTGGTGCGCAGCTTGGCCGGGGCCGACGCCGGCAGCAGCTTGCGGGGCGGGGGCAGGGTCTGCATCTTCTTCCGGACGGGAGTGGACATGGACGTGGTGTCCATGAGGAGCAGCGGGGACGGTGGGGGCCCGAGGCTGATCTCCAGGCCCAGGATGGCGGCGGTGGCCGGCAGCGTGGGGTGGGTGATGAGCTCCTCCCATGAGAACTCGAAGATGTTCCGGATGCCCTTGGGGATGGGGACCCCGGTGCTTCGGTACGAGATGAGCAGCCTGGAGATCTTGGCCAGCAGCTTGGGTGCCATGGCAACATACTCATTGTACAGCTCCCGGTTACTCTTCTCCCCCATCATGTTGCCCGTGTAGCATGCTGCTAGGTGACACCGTCCATCTGGGACCCAGGGGCCCTCGGCGACCGAGAAGTGAGTGACCGGCAGTGCTTAGCTGAGAGGTCACCTCAGGGGCGGAATGGAGATGCTGAAGTCACCCAGCCGGGTCCCGGAGCCGGCAAATCCAACCTGTGAGGGAAGGAGAAGGGAATCCTGAGCCTCTCTCCACACAGCCAGGGGGACCGTCTCCCAGAGACACTGGCAGAGACACCCACGAGTGTGGGTGAGGCTGGCAAGGCCCTGAGGGTGAGGAAATGCCAGGAACCACTCCAGGGAGTCACACCCCTGGTCACTCAGGAGGGCGGAGGGTGGACAGGATGGATACTGGGGAGAGAGAAGGGGATGCGGATGGGGGAGGACCTGAAGAAACAAAGCCCGGTATCTCCCTGGCTGTCTCCAGAACCTTCTGGAAACAACCCAACCTCCACGTCCATGGGTAGGCAGGAGCGCGGGAGGACAAAGGGTCTTTTGGAAATCAGCGGTTCAGATTCTTTCATCTTCTGGCAAATCCAGGAGTCCGTGCAATTCTTAGAAGCACGATTGTTGTTACAAGGGGGAAAAATGGATGCGCGTGACACATCGCAACTTGGGGTGTTAAAAATGGGGAAGAGAAAACAGTATGGACGATTCTCAAAAAATTAGAAACTGAGCTCCCATTTGACCCAGCAATACCACTCCTGGGAATATATCCTGGAGAGGCAAGAAAGTACAGTCGGAACACAATAGCCAAAATCTGGAAAAAAACCCGAGTGCCCGAGAACAGATGAGTGGTTAAAGAAACTTTGGTACATCTACACAATGGAGTACCATGCAGCTGTTAGAAAAGATGAAGCCGTGAAATTTACATACAAGTGGTACTACATGGAAAGTATCATGCTAAGTGAAATGAGTCAGAAAGAGAGGGACAGACATAGAAAGATTGCATTCATCTGTGGAACATAAAGTAACAAAATAGGAGACTAACACCCAGAGGGCACGCAGTGACCAAGGGTTCAACGGCTGCTCTGTCCGCACAGTAGAGGTCATTCTGCATCGTGGAGAGTGGCCAGAGGGACACTCGCCCAGCCAGAACCGCCACAGAGACCTGCGTTGTCCGACTTGGCTGCTGGAAACGTCCAGAACAGGAGGATCTACAGAGACCCCAACTAGATTAGTCGCTGCCTGGGGCTGCGGGAGAACGCGGAGAGTGGTCGCTGGTGGCGCCTTCTTGGAGGGACAGAAGTGTCCTAAAGCTAGATGGCGGCGTGGGTTACTTACCTGGCGGCCAGGTGGCCAGCAGCCATCATGTGCTTTGATGAGGGTGAATGGGAGGAGCAGGGAATAAGCTCGCAAAGCTGTTGTTTTCCGAATGAGAAGTGTGAACCCGTCAAGAATTGGGCATGTTGGCTGCTTTGCGTGTGAGGCCTGGCTGGTCAGGGCCCGGGCCCTCTGGCCGGCTGCCCAGACGGACGACTGTGGTTTCTTTGTTCGACAGATTTCCCGTTTCAAAAAAAATGAAGCTACTTTGCCGCCTCCGTAAGCGCAGAGGCACGAAGATGCGGGTCGGTTAAGTGACAGCTGTCGGAAGTCCCTTCTTCGCCCACCAGGCCCTGCCCCCGGGGCCCTGAGCCCCACCACTGCTGGACAGGCAGCTCTGCAGCCTGCAGAGGCCCCGTGAGTCTGAGGCTTTGCCTCAGCCTCTGATCCGGGTCGGGGGACGAGAGCCCGCTGATGAGGGTGTTTGTGCCGATGCATGGCCCGCGGCCTGCTCTGGGCATGGAGGCAGAGAGTCACCGGAGTGGGCTGGGACTGATGGTCCCACGGCAGGGGCAGCTCATAGCATGGCAAGTGTGTAGCCTGATGCCAGTAACGTCACCCCCAGGGAGTTTCCTGATGTGGCAGGGGTGTGTGTGTGTGTGGCCCCACAGACCAGGGGCCACAGACCAGGCCCCACAGACCAGGGTGAGAGGGGGCAGTTCTGAGCAGGTGGGGAAGAGCAAGTGACGGGGACGGAGTGGGGGGACCAGGGGTGGACACTAGAGACCAGTACACACGGTGTCCTGTTGCTGGGACCCGAGAGCACACGGAGAAACTTGGCGACTGGGCTGGAGGCGCTGGTCCCGGGAAGGCTGGAGACAGGACAGGAAGGCTGAGTGGAAGGGGACAGCGTCAGGCCAGGCCGAGTGGATAGGGACAGCGTCAGGCCAGGCTCACCTTCAGGCTCAGAAGAGCAGAGTGGGCTCACAAGGAGACAGAGGCTGGAGTGACAGGGTAGTGGGAGAGCACAGACCTGGCACGTAGCTGACCTGGATCCGATCCCCAGCACCCCATGGGGCCCCCGAGTCCACCAGGAGGGATTCCTGAGCACCACTGGGTGTGGCCCCCAGACCATACACACTTGTTGGTGCTAAGTCAGGACCTTAGGATGAGCCTCTGGACGCTACCCTGCAAGCAGGAAGCAGAACCAAGCCACCACTTTGACATTAAGTGGGCAAGCTAAAACTTGAGAGTTCCGATGATCTGGAGAAGTACGCATGCTCTCATATGCCCGCCCGGTCTTACATTATCTTGGCAGTACAAAGCAGCAGTTTCCCCACCTCTTACGCATCCTTAATCTGGTATCACTTCATGCAACACACACACACACACACACACACACACCCCACAGGCAGAAAAGGCGGGGACGGAGGAAGGAGGTGCAGGAGCCGTGCCCCCTGTGCTCTGCTCTGCAGACAGTTCCCTGGACAGAATCAGGTCCCTCAGGCGCGACAGAGGCAGCCGGAGCTTGGGGGATGGCGGATCGGGGCCAGAGCTGCCTGCGGGGCCTGCAGCGGCAATGACATTCTGTCCCTGGGCACGGACTGTAGCCCAATCTCCTGGCCAGACCACCGGGGAAGGTAAGGAGGAGCCCCCACCTCTTCCTCTTCGTCCCCCGAGCTGTGCTGATCTTCCCCCAAACCCAGTTCTTAGAATCAGTTGTTGATATCAATAAAATATTTGTGTTGGAAGATTAAAAAGCAGCATATGAAAATACTATGACTTTAAACAGATTTCCTCTTCGATTTTATAAAGCATATACAAAGCAACCAGTCACTGTCACTGTCACCGTCCTCCCATTGTTCAACCAGTAGAAATTAAAACTATCTTAGAAAAAAATACTTTAAATTGCATTTAGATGTAATTGTAAATAAGAAGGCAATGGAACAGAATGGCAGATGTAATGATACTAATGAATTAAAAATGTGGTATGATTCATGGTGTTTCACTAATAAAAAAAAAAAGAGGAGAAAAAAAATGTGGTATGGATGTCACTCAAATGTTTTTTATGTTCTCAAATATATATGTATATATGTGTGTGTGTGTGTGTGTGTGTGTGTGTGTGTGTGTGTGTGAGAGAATATATCCTTGTTTTACTCTCAAAAAAAAAGAAGGAGCCCGCATGGCCCAGGGTCTCTGCCCCGTTAGCAGTGCCAGGGGACAGCTGAGGCAGGGAAGGCTGCTTGAATGAACAGCAAGACCCCAAAACCCCAAAAGCCAAGGGGCGCAGGAAACAGCGAGGACAGATTCTAAACTGGCATCGAGGTGCTGAACTACCAGGCGACAAGGAAGAATACCTGGGCCCAGTCTCACAAACTCGGCTACCGAATGATCCTGAAGAGGCAGTAGTCGGGGCGAGAGGCTGACAATGGCCTGACCCTGGATGACCAAGGATTGCTGTGGGGATCCAGGGTCTCTGAGCACTATTCAGGAGCACTGCACTCCCCCAGCCCCCGCGAGCACCGGCCAGTATGTTTCCATTAATTACACATCCCACAAAATTGTAAGCGAGGCGTGACCGGACCCGAGATGCACCGCCCTTCCCTGTCAAACGGGGTTTTCAGAAAGGAGCCAAACTTGGGGCCTTCCTGGTCCACTTCTAGGCCACGCACCAGCCCACAGGAGAGTGGGCCGGGGAGCAGGACCCACGCTGCCATTTCCCAGATTCCACAAACAATCCCGAACCATCACATGTGGGATGCTGAGAGAGCTGGTGACCGGTGGATGGAGGACTGAGGGCTCCAGCCTCGGCCTACCCAGCCAGCTCGAGCTCAGGCAGCTTTAGGGACCAAGAGCAAGAGAAATCTCTAGAAAAACACTCCCAGCCCAGCCAAACTGTCACCCAGCGAATGAGCTTTCAGAGTTAGAGCGAACACGAAGGTTAGCAACGTAGCAGAGAAACTGTTTAAACGGAAGGCGAAAAAGCGGGAACTTTTCTCTGTATACCTCACATCCAACATCCTACCATCCGTACACAAACACACTAGCCGTGGAAAGATAAACACAGCCCTGAATTTCCCAGGAAACACTAACAGATCAGCTGGTGATAGCTTCTTACGAAGATGACCCGATTCTCTGATTTTTCCCCTAAATACTCCATCATCTACCCCAATCTCCTCCCCTCTTCACACCAAGCACCACAGGCTAACGACCCCCTGGGCAGCAAGCTGACTCGCATGGGCGGGGGGGGGGGGACCCCCGCTTCCTTCTTTTTTCAGCGGGCACCCAAGTATTTTCAAGAACCATCGCTTACCTTGGCCATACAGTTTTTTACATGAACCGTGTGACACACAACGGACTTAGTTCAACTTACTGGCTGAGAGAGACACAGATGGCAAGGCGACTCTCTGATGTAGTAACTGTAAAGACCAGTACCCACCCCTGCACTGAATTCCAAATTCCACGGCCTCAGCTCTATGTCACAACGAGCAGGCTGAAAACCAGGCTCCAGCCTAAGCTGTGGCTTTAAGGGAAAATTAATGACCCCACCGCCTTCGGCACGTGTGTGGCTATACGTAGCGGGAACCTCGCGGATATATGGACTTGAAGTTTCTCCATAGGGAATTTTGCGGGCAAACAAAATGATTTATTTAGCTAATTCAAATGAACTGTTATCAAACACACAAAGGCCTGGCAGAATGATTACAATGAAAATAAATAATTCAAAGCCATTTCTGATCCATAATATTCCGCTTAGTGCTAGCTACAAAGAACTAAGGAAGATGTGGCCTCCTTTCCCTTACCACAGCCAGAAAGGGGTCCCGAGTGCTCGATGTTGGTCTCAGGAACGTTTCCCAAAAGTTACCCTTTGGTCACTAACAGGACGGACATGTGGAGAGAAACCACAGCAATGTGGAGAGACCGGAAGCCGTAATGCAGCGCCAAGGATGTCTTTCAAGCACTGAAATGTGGCTGCGGGCCAGGAACTCCAATTTTGTTCACTTAAAATTGAACTTAAGACTCAATTATATTAGCGATTGATACTAGCAAACTTTTAAGTATGTTGAGTGGTTTAAAATGTTTAGTGTATTTTGCTTTAGGGACAATTTAAATATGTGTCGAACTTTTCAACTGCATATTTTACAAATTCTAAAGACGAATCAAGTTGTTTTTCTTTCTTTTTTGGTCCCAGCTCTGCTCAGGGCTTACTCCTGGCTCTGTGCTCAGGGATCCCTCCTGGTGGGGCTCAGGTGATCAAACCTGGGTGCAAGGCAAGAGGCCTTAAGCCCTGCGCCATCTCCCCAGCCTGTGACCGATCAGGTATTCTTGATGAAGAGGCAGCGTCCACCCCGAGATGGTCTGTACATGAATGTATAGAACATCTCCATGTGGAGTCTAATGAGTTGTAGGCAAAGAAAGGCAAAATATTTTACTGTATCTTTTCTATACTGAAAGCGCTGGAATATTTTAACAGTGAACTAAAAAAAAGTCTATCATCCCATTAAATCCACTTTCACAATGTGGTTCCTAAAACTCGGACACAGAACAGTTCGACGTATTTCTGGGTGCCAGTGCAGGTCACGTGGGAACCTGAAATCTCAGAATTCTAACGCCCTCTGCTGGACACACTGGTATAAAACAGGCCCGGGAGAAGAGGTGACTGGTATTGGAGACAGGCCTCGTCGGGGTCTGGAACGAGTGGGCTCACGACACCAAGTTATCCACCCATGCGCTGTGGCTCTCCTGACTGCGGGCCGATCCCCCCCACCGTGGACTGAGCTATCTTAAGTGTCCTCTCACCCTGGCCCTAAACCAGCCTCCCCAGTTCTACCATTATCTGGCCCTGGTCAATTCCCTCTTTTTGGAGCTTAACATTCTAATGTTTTGTTGTTTTTTTCTATTTCAAGTTCCCCATGGCCTCCCGCCTTGTTCTGCTCCATCCTACGTTCTTACTCTGAGGTCACTGCGGCAATTCCAGCCGAGTTTTGAATGAGTTGAGGGTCACAGATGACGCAGAATCAAGTTGTGAGGACATTCTTTCCCTGAGGGGCGGCCCTGGTGGCACTGCCCCACCCTGACCGTGGTGTCTGGGTGTATTTCTGGATCCCACGGATCTATCCTCGCATCCATGGATCCTTTCACTGGTGCCACCTTGTGCCAAACCCTGGAGCTCTGAAGTCAAGCCTCCAACTTGGATCTCTTTCAAAATTTGTTTTGGATATTCTAAACGCTTTGCAATTTCACTATGAATAGTATGATCAGCTTGCCAGTTTTTACCAAAAAAAAAAAAAAAAAAGCAAGATGAGCTGGTTTTACGTCTATTTTCTGAAAAGACATATTTGAACAAAGCTTGCAAGTATCTGGGATTTGTTGCTGTTCAGTGTTGGGAGGGGGACACTGGGGCCAGCATGGGCCCAGGCAAGCTGCAGTGAAGTCTCAAGTATCCGAATGACCATTCTCAGGACAAGCAACTTGCTATGGAATTCAGAGGCAAAGTCTGCAAGTAACCAAGATTTATTGTTGTTGTTCAGTATTGGGGGGACAACTGGGGCCTGGACTGCAGAGAAGCCCCCCGGGTCCAGATAACGAGAGCAGCGCCCCCACGGACGCCACTGTGGGAACGGACCGCGCATCCAGTCCCCAAGAATGACGGGAACCGGGGTGGAGCCCAGGGAGGCAGTCAGGGACACAGGTGCAGTGGGGAGGTGAGGGGTGGGGTGAGGGGCGTGGCGCTCAGCCAGGAAGTGCCGGGACACTCGTGCAGCCTCCACATCTGCCCAGGCCTGAGCCCAAGTCCCTGAGCATCGGTAGCAGGAACTGTGACAGAGGAGGGGGCGACAATAAGTGGCTCCAGCGTCGCCCTCCTGCAGTTCCCCTCCCTGGCCCTGCTCATCATCTCAATGACCCCACTCAAGAGGCCACCAGAACCATGGCCCCTGGGAGACCAGATCACTCTGGCTCCTGTTTACCCCCGTCACTGGCAAAAACTGCTCCCGCAGATGCTCTGGCGACTACTAGAGCCTCAGAGTTCCTAGAACAAGGATGCCTGCTGGCCTGTCAGTACTGGACAGGGAATAGAACGGAGCTTCAGATGGAGTGAAAGACACTGGGTCACAGCTTCCGTGGAAATCGAGGTGACTGTTGCCACGTAAGGCAGAGAGCAACAGAGCCAAGAAGGGCCACGCGCACGTGTCCATCCCAGCGGGAGGCAGGCCTGACAGTGCTGGCCCTGCGGGGAGCGGGGGGAGGCACGTCCCCAGGGTCGCCCTGTCGGGCTGGCTGGAGGTTCAGGTCACCTGTTTATAATAGGATATCATATCATCCAGAGTTTCGAACGTGACTGTGGGGGCTTGCGGCGGGCTCTCGGGGGCTGCGGTGGCTGGCGCGTGTGCGGCGCTGGGTGCGGGCCTCTGACCAGGGCACTGGCCCGGGTCACCGTGTGCTGGCCCTGGCCTGCTGCTCCCAGGCCCAGCTCTCCTCTGACCCAGGAAGTAATCCGACGGTGGGGCGAACTCAGGATCTCGCTCGGCCCGCAGTTCCGACTGCCTCTTGGACCAGTAGCCAAAGGAAAACTCTAGTGGAGATAAGAAAGAATAGTGTGAGCGCTAATTGCTGAATGTTGGTCGTTATTAAAACAAAGATCAATATATCATTTAAACAACGGTTGCTGAATCCGGTCACTTTTCACTAGTACTCTTTAGTCACTGTGTGCATTTCTTAAGGATCATCTCAATTTCTCTGGTGAACAAGGACAGCAAGAGACTGTGTAAAATCTAAAGAAAGGATCAGGAACCAGGCTAAGGGACAGAAGTGGTTGGTTTTCTCCAGAAGGGGGAAGATCAAGGCAGGGTTTGTGGAGAAACACGACAGGAGACAGAGCCAGAGACACCAACATTCCATCTGTCATGAAAATATGGAAAAATCAGATCCTCACCTCCCCTGATGTAAGAGCTGCTTCTGAAAATTAGGACCAGCCTGTCGGTTTATGCCCCCTCCCCCCCGCAAAAAAAGTAGCGAAATCAGCTGGTTTTAATGTCTATTTTCTGAAAAGATGCATTTGCCAGACTGAAGTATCCGAATGACCATTCACAGGACAAGCAACTTGCTATGGAATTCAGAGGCAAAGTCTGCAAGTATCTGGGATTTGTTGTTGTTGTTCACTGTTGTTGGGAGGGGGACACTGGGGCCAGCACGGGCCCGGGCAAGCTGCAGTGAAGTCTCAGAGGCTCTGTCACCTGGCCTCCAGCAAGGCCACCCTCCCGGCCTTCACTCAGCGACTGAAAGAACTTGCTGGAACCGATCTGGGTATTTCATCTGTTCCCAACGGGAGCCGTAACCAAAGTCACCCACTGTTGGTGAAAAATAATTACTGGTGAGGGGAGGGGTGTTTGATCATTGTATGACCAAGACTTAAACCTGAAAGCTTTGTAACTTTTCTCACGGTGATTCCATAAATAAATTTTTTAAAAATATATATGTAGTATACACTTTTGGGAGACATGAAATGATGAGAAACATTCTTATTCATTGAAAGAGAATTCAGTAAATAAGAACTTTTTTGAAAAAAGGTAACAAGTAGTATTGAACAAGCTTTTAATGTTTGTTGATTAAATTGAAATTAAAAAAAAAAGTCACACACCGTTTTGCTATCTTTTACTTTAGTGGTTGAACGGCACGAGTTAATGCTAAGATAATCTTTAATTTTCTGAGGGGGACGGGGGTCACCCCTGGCTGTGCTCAGGGCTGAATCCTGGCCCTGCACTTGGGGCTCACGACTGGCAGGGCTCAAAGGACCGAAAGGGGTGCCAGGGGTCAACCAGGTCAGCTGCATGCCAAGCAAGCGCCCGAGCCGCTGTACCATCACTCTGTGCCAACGTTCCCTCTAAAGAGATGCAAACCAGAGCCTCTTCCTGAGAGACGCTGCATCGTGGTGGACGGACAGTTTTCATGATTCAACAGAATCAAAGATGAGCCCAGATCAGCGGTCCAGCTCGCAACCCTCTTGCAGAACACAGGGTAGGATGAGAAGGCACAGAGCACCTGGAAACACCAAAGCTCCCGCAGGCTCAGGAAGCAGCTGGTGGGGCCGGAGACCACCCAGCAGGGACCATGTTCGCACACAACACTCTGCCCTCCCAACACTGCCGGAGTGATCCGTAGGCACAGAGACTGAGCATAGCCAGCTACTGCCCAAAAAACACCGACAACACCCCCACCCCACTCCCGGCTGAAAAAAAAAAAAAGCAGTTTTGAGCTTGGAGTGATAGCACAGCGGGGAGGGCGTTTGCCTTGCATGCGGCTGACTTGGGTTCGATCCCCGGCATCCCATATGGCCCCCCAAGCACCGCCAGGAGTAATTCCTGAGTGCAGAGCCAGGAGTGACCCCTGAGCATCGCCGGGTGTGACCCATAAAGTTAAAAAAAAAAAAGCAATTTCTGAGAAACAGAATTCAAAACTCTAATACCATGAAGGCAGCAACAATTTCAGAGAATTTTCAAGAACCTTTTAGAAACCCCATCCTTTTGCAGTAAGTGCTCCCGTCTACAGAGACGGCGTCTGGGTGTTCAAGGGCCTGAAGGACTCCACCGTGCCTCACAGGACCCTGAGCGGCCCCAGACTGACATGCGCCTGGGCAGGGGTGCCGGTGCCCTTACCTTTCCCTCGGTCCCACTCCCGCACGTGGGGCACGCCGGGCCTGGTGTCCTTCCGCTCCTGGACGATGACCTCGACTTTGCTGCTGGGGGCGGCTGCACGTGGGGGTGGCACAGCTTCTGGCTCTGGTGGCAAAGGTCCAATCACATCTCCATCTAGGTTTCGCAAGGGAGTAAGATTTCGTTACGATGACAAAATAAACGTGAACAGAAACACGCTGATCCTTCAAGTTACAGATGCTATTTCCGGAGACTCTAGCATGTCCCAAGCAGTGGGCGAAGGACCTAACAATAACTGATTCAGTTGCAAAAACTCAAATATAAAGTCAGTTTTGGCACTCTGTTTTACCCCCACTTTATAGACGAGGAGACGCAGAAATACTCCACAGGAAGAAAGTGACGAGAACCAACATCCAAACGCGGGATGAATTAAGTGTCTCATCAGGCTACTCTGCGCTCTAGACCAAGAGGTAAAGGACTGGAAATCTCTAGTAACTTCAGTCGAGGAAAGTCTGGACTAAAGTAAAAGCGAAAGCAGGGAGGCTGCTGAGGAAGAGGTGGAGCCAGTGAGAGTGTAGGTGACAGGGCGGGGGTGACAGACTGTAGGTGGCAGGGTAGGTGAGAAAGTGTGGGTGACAGAGTGTAGGCTATTCAACTCTGGCTGTATTTTAAAAGAAAATGAGATTACAGAGTTGGTTATTTTAAAAGAGAGACCGTGAGAGCCCGTCACATCCTGTAGAATTACAAGATATTCAGGAGCAGAACAAAACAGAGAAACACTGGGGGGCTGGAGCGATAGCAGAGCGGGTAGGGTGTTTGCCTAGCATGTAGCCAACCCGGGTTCGATCCCCAGCATACCATATGGTCCCCTGAGCACTGCCAGGGGCAATTCCTGAGCGCAGAGCCAGGAGTAACCCCTGTGCATTGCTGAGTGTGACTCAAAAAGCAATAAAAAAAAAAAAAAACAGAGAAACACTTCACAGAGTCTTATGTGTCACCAGGAGATGGCATGTCTATAAAACAGATGAGAGCCCAACTCCGAAATGCTCCTGGTCTCAACTCAAAACTCAAAGGATGAGCCACCTCGGGCACCCAGGAAGCTCTTTTACCTGCCATGACCCAGAGACTCATAAATAAACCTCAAAAGAGATCAACAAGTTAGAGATCCTTCTAGCCCCCAGGTTAGGGGGCGGAGGGGGGGCTGAGCTCCACGCCCGCCCAAACAGAGCCCTGGCAGGCAAAAACCCCCACACTCCACAATCACCGCCATGCTCTTGGCTGGGCTCACTGCTCAGGACAAGCCTCATACAGAAATCAATCTGTTGAAAAACTCAGGCATGAAGGTTTCGCAATGAATCTTCAGGCTTTCATGGAATCAGGGATGGCGGAGATGGGCTACCACCCCCCTTCTCCCTGTACCTCCAGAAGCTCCGGCAGTTTTTTGAGGGGGGAAGCACACCGGGCACTGCTCAATACTTAATCCCAGCTCTGCACTCCGGGATCACTCCTGGCTTGGGGAATGCCAGGGATCAAACCTGGGCCGGCCACATGCAAGGTAAACGCCCTACCTGCTGTTCCCGTATTTCTAAATTGATTTTTATCTTATTAACTCGAGCTCGAGCGGGCCCAGTAACGTCTCCATTGGAGACTTTGTTGTTACTGTGTCTGGCATATCGCATACTCTCGGTAGCTTGCCAGGCTCTCCGAGAGGGGCGGAGGAATCGAACTCGGGTCGGCCATGTTGGCCACTTGTAAGGCGAACGCTCTACCGCTGTGCTATCGCTCCAGTCCAGCTTATTAACTCACTTTGCGAATGGTTTTCTTTAAAACATGCACATGTGAAGTAATACAAACTGAGAGTTTTTCCAAGCAAAATTAAGTCTAAAACATGTACAGTTGAAATTAAGTCTAAAGCATATAGTTTATCTGAAAAGGTCTTTTCTGGAAATCTGTTACTAAGCTACATCATGCTATGAAGCAGTACAATGTACGTTTGTTAGTGTTCTCGTGACAAACTAGCAACGCCCAGAATCATCTCTCTACATCACTCGGGCTGTGAAAACTTCCTGGCAACACCTCAAAGGCAGGCTGCCAGCCGGGCAGTGAGGCCACAGGGCATGTCCACCCCCCATGCTACAAGGAGGCCCAGGGAACTGTATTTCCCCAAGACGAGCAAGGCCACCGTGTCGCTTATCTCCTTCTGAGAGGAAGAGGGCCACGACGTACCTGTACTTCCTTCCTCGGTTCCATCCTCCTTTGACTTCTTCATCTTCTTCTGCCGCAGTTTAGCGAGCCGTGCTTCTAACAGGGCCTTCCGCTTTTCCTTTATGTTCTCTCGCTTTGTTCTCTGATCCGTGGTCTGGGCAGAAGATAAAAAGATTCTTTTATGCCAAATCACAGTATTTCTGTTTTAAAAAATAGAATATGGTGTGTGTATGGGGGCAAGGCAGGAAACGCGAGGGAACCTGGGGACACTGGCGGTGGGAAGTATGCACTGGTGAAGGGACAGGAAGACTGTGTGACTGAAACCCAATCATGAACAATTTTGTGCTGTGTATCTCTCTCTGTGATTCAATTTAAAAGAAAAAAAATTTTTTTTTTGCTTTTTGGGTGTCACCCGGCGATGCACAGGGGTTACTCCTGGTTCATGCACTCAGGAATCACTCTTGGTGGTGCTCGGGGGACCCTATGGGATGCTGGGAATCGAACCTGGGTCGGCCGGGTGCAAGGCAAACGCCCTACCCGCTGTGCTATTGCTCCAGCCCCAAGAAATTTTTTTTTTAAAGAAAAAATAAGAAATCAAAAGAATAAAATATTGCGCCTATTCTAAACACAAACTTATTTCATCCCTTTCTCTCTTTAAAGAAAGCGCAGTTCCCGCAGTCTCGGAGACGAGCCCAGGAGACTTGTGGAGGGGCTGACGCTTTCTGGCAGGCGCTCCAGCCACCCTGGACACCAGGCCAGACGCCGAGCAGTCCTGCTCTTCACCCCTCAGGAACGAGCCTCATCTAACACCCCAGCCAGGAAGCAGCTCTGACGCTCCCACCTGACTGAACAATGCCCCGCGGGCCAGACGCCCGTGGGCAGCGCCTCCCTCTGCGGTGTTTGGGCTGGACGGTCCCACCCGGCTCGGCCTCAGCGGGGAACCTGGCAGGTACCTGCTCACGCAGCATCTCCAGCGTTTTCATCTGCTTGTTCCTAAGCTCCTTGTCTCGGGCAAAGGCGAAATAGCCAACACCAAGCTGCCGGGCCTCTGAAATAAGCCAAAAGGATCCAGAGAGATTAGATCTTTCTGATCAGAACATCGGAGCTGGGACAAACTCTGCGGAAGCGAAAAAGAAGTGCGAGAAAGAGGCGGAGGTTTCAAATTTTTAAAAAGCGAAAGCAATTTCCATCCCGTCTGGCCAGCGGTCAGGGCAACAAAAACGCACTGACTTTCAGCCACGGGCTGTCTCGGCAACTAATAGATCCTCTGTTAGAAAGTCATTGTGTGTGTGTGTGTGTGTGTGTGTGTGTGTGTGTGTGTGTGTGTAGGCCATCAAATGAACAAAGGGGACATTTTCAATGTCCACCAGAGAATCTCCTACTCGGACGCAAGAGCTGGTGCTTGCTGAAGGCGCCCTTCATGCCTGCAGTGAACGAGGAGTGCCCTGGGGGCGGCGGGCGACAGTACCGTTTTCCCGGATGTCCTCGTAGTGGATGGGGCCCATGGGCCTTTTCAGGGCCTCCCGTTCTTCCTCCTCCCACTCCTGGCGCTGCAGCTCTTTCCGCATGTCTTCCGACAGTAAGGATTTCTCATTGGCAGGGCTGAGAAAACTGGGAGAGAGCAAGAGGGAGTTCTGGTTAACCGAGGGCTGAGGGCGGCGGACGGCGGACGGCAGGCGACGCCCACAGTGAAAGGTGACAGCGGCTTCCTGGGTGCTCCTGCCTCACAACACCCCAGGGAACCGACAGACACCAGCTCCGCTTTCCTCAGGCAAGCGGCTGTCCCTGACCCCAGCAGAGTGGACGCTTCCGACAAACCACTTTCTGAAGACAGAGAGACGGGTCCTCACACAGAGAGGGAGAGAGAGAGACAGATAAAGAGTGCGAGAGGGAGAGAAGAGAGAAGAGGACAGAGGCGGGGGAGAGAGTGTGTGACAGAGAGAGAGAGGAGGGAGGGAGAGGGTGGGGGGGAGAGAGCCACAGGCAGCTCCAGAGGGTCCCACACGGCCGGGGCACTACAGGATGCTTCGGCGGACACCGCCTCGAGTCCCCCCAGCCCCGCCTCACGGCTGAAGCCCAAACTCAGGACGAGGTGGACTTTCTCCCAACACCTTCACACAAGATCTCCTGGTGACAGGGATTCTTCTCCCCAGGAAGAAGTTTTAACAACTTTTTTTTTTTTTTTTTTTTGCTTTTTGGGTCACACCCGGCGATGCACAGGGGTTCCTCCTGGCTCTACACTCAGGAATCACTCCTGGTGGTGCTCAGGGGACACTATGGGATGCTGGGAATTGAACCCGGGTCGGCCACGTGCAAGGCAAACGCCCTCCCCGCTGTGCTATCGCTCCAGCCCCAAGTTTAACATGTTTTAACAAGTGAACACTTAGAGCAATCTTAGGCCTCACGGGGGCAGGAATCGAGTGTAAAGTCCTTCCTTCAAACAAAGAAAGAAAAAGCGAGTCAGCCACCTGCTGCCCCCTGCACACAGGATACGCGGGGTGAGGAGACTCTCCTCAGAGGCCTCCAGCACACGGCTGCACGTTGGTTGTGTCGGGCTCGTCTCACGCGGGCCGTCACATATCCTCCCAGTAAACAGAGGCAGACGGCGCCAGCCCCGCCCGTCCCTCCCTCCCTCCCTCCCCACTGGAACACCAATGGCCTCCCCGGGCTGCACACTCACAGCCTCCCCTGGAGGTTCTTGTCCAGCTCCAGCAGGTGCGGCAGATCCTTTTTCATGCAGCGCCGGGACCGGCCCAGAGAGTCCACGTAATCCACCCTGCAACACACAAACACACGGGCAGATGTGAGGCTCAGGCAGGACCGCAGGGTCCTTGGGGGGGGGGGGGGGGGGGGGGAGCAGGTGCCGAAAGAAGCCGGGAGACCACCCGTGCTCTGCACACTGTGCCCCGCGCCCTTGTGGAATCTTCATCGTGGTAGAAAGACAGAGAACAATTGGTCACCTACGTGGTTCCAGAAATGAGGGACAAACACAGACCCCTGCTGCCACATCTCAGAAGGCGGTGTGTGACACAGTCAGCACACAGACATGAAGGCGACACCCAGGGGCACACAGCTCAACAGCAAAGCACAGGACACACACACACCCACATTCATCACACACACCCATGACACACACACATAAACACACCCATGACACACACACACCCACACACAGCCATCACACACACACACACACCCATCACAGCCCAACTGCTTCGGCCGATCCCCACTGTGGGGGCGCCACGCTCTCCACACACTCCCTCAGTCCTCCCAAATCAAACATTTCATTCGTTCATTTCTTCTCAAGGTTCACGCTTTCCCAAGGAATGAAAAATTTCTCAGTGGGCATCTTCTAGCTCACAGCCTGCCCACACCCCAACCTAAGGCACGGATTCCCGGCTCCCTCCCACGCGGAGAAGCCCGTGCTCTGTTTATTTTTTATAATTTTTGTGTAATTTCTGCGCCACACCCAGGGATGCTGAGGGGCTCCTGCTGGCTCTGCACTCAGGAGTGACTCCTGGCGGTGCTCGGGGGACCGTAGGAGGTGCTGGGGGTGGAACCCGGGTCAGCCGCCCTCCCCAATGTCCCATGGCTCAAGTCCCCCTTCCCACCCCACCATGTTCTCTCTTAAACACAGAAATTTAGCTCTGCTCATATTTCTCTAAATAAAGGAATTTTACTCTTTTTTTTTCTCAGTATAAGACATGGTCCTCTGGAGCCTTTCTGAAGAGGACCCAGACGGCACTGACGGCTGCACCCCAGAAGTGCCCTCCCCCTCCCCCCACCCCGCAGCCTTCTTCCCATGCACCTGCTCTGAGCGGCCACGGGAGCCAGACCACGAGCAGGGCCACGGACGTGCTCTGGCGCCCCTAGAGGACCACGGGACACCTGCAAGGAAACCGCTCCCTCTGCATTATGTTGCAACAGATTTTTCTAACTCAGGGGCAGGGATTTTGCCGATCTTTGGGGGGCGGGGCAGGGAGTGGGGGGCCATAGGGGAGTGTGGCCCACGCCCGCCGTGCTGAGGGGGTGCTTCTGTGGTGCCAGCGTCAAGCCACGGGCAAGACAAGTGCCTTAACCCCTGTGCTGTACCTCCGGCCCCAACACACAGACTCCCCCCGCCCTGCCCGGTCGTTAGCAAGAGGCTTAGCAGAGGCCGAGCCCAGAACGCTGGGACGCCAAGACAGTCAGACTCCCACGCGTGCAGCTTTGCTTTCGCTTGCAATTTCTTTTTGCTCACACCGCTAGTTCTTAATTCCAATTGTTAGCTCGTATTTGAAAAACTGAATGCTTGGGAATCTGCTACTCTAATCCTCAAGCTGATTACCACAATAAATAAAATCTCAAATTACAGAAATTTACTCAAATTTCTCTCCCCCCCACTTCATATGAATAGAGGAAGAAAAGCCTCTAGCCAGATGGTCTGCGTAATTATTTACTATATTTCTGCAGAAAGATTTTTCACCACCTGGAACTGAACTACGGAAAAGATCTTACTGGAGCTTGATTCAGAGACACTGAGAGCATCGGAACCGCTTGCAGTGCGCCTTCCGGCGCCAATGGTGGCAGGGAGACCTTGGCTTGCCCTTCAAACTCTTCCCATCACTTGACAAACGCTTGCAATCACATGGGCATTAATAAAGGCAGAAAATCGAGGACGTTAAACCTCTCAAGGGAGAGCGATTTCGGCGATGAAAAGCAATCACAGCCATTCTGTCCCAGGAGAAGAGCTTCCGGACAGACAGCCCGGCGGAGAAGCGGCAAGGCAGGGTAGTCACTGCTGTCAGCGGGCCAGGCCCACCTCGAGGGGCCCTGGTGGCCGGGAAGGCACAGGCCACAACGCACGTCCAGCACCACTGGGCAAGAAGGATGCACTAAGCGCACCTCCTATTTTTTCTAGGGGCCAGAGTGATAGTCCAGCGGGGAAGGCTCTGGCCTCGCAGGCAGCTGACCCAGGTTCGATGGGTCCAAACATGTCAGGAGGATCCCCGAGTGCAGAGCCAGAAGTAAGCGCTGAGTGCCGCCAGTGTGGCCCCAAAATCCCAAAAAAGTGAGGAAAAAAGAAACATACTTTTTTCCCCATCATTCATCAACAAGGTAATACACAGATTGACTTTCTTAGGAGGCCGGGACGCTCAGTCTCTGAAAGGAACTGCAGGCAGACCGTCACCCAGCCTGTGCGGCAGGCGAGGGAACAGCCGCGCAGCCCGGGCAGAGAAGGGCCCCGTTCCCCAGGCCGGGGGTCATGGCGCCCACCCTGCCCGCCTGTCCCTTGGAACACAGCCCCAGCCCAGCATGGACGACAGCAGGGCAGCGTGTTCCGTGCCGGGGAGGCCAGCACACTGCTGCCCAGCATCAGCCCAGTGGGCTCCGTCTGTGTGTGGCCCCTCCTCCCTGGGCTAGGCCCACGGCTGCAAACCCAGAGCTCACAGCTGAGCACATGCTGAACATGGATCCACCCCTGCTGCTGCAAGGTCCCTGAGACGGGCGGGGGGACCCCACTTCCAACACACACACACACACACACACACACACAGCACACACACACACACATCCCCAGCCCCAGCACAGCATACACACACCACCCAGCATGCACACACACAAACATACACCGAGTACACACATACACACACACCCCATACACCCACACACCGACACATACACACCCCCCATACACCCACACACTGGACATACACACACCCAGCACATATACCCTATATATATACACATCCCCCATACACCCACACACATATGCCTGAAACATACACACTCAACCAGCACACTCAACCAGCACACACACACACACACACACACACACACACACACACACCCCCAGCACAGAGCCAGGAGTATTCCCAGAGCAACGCTGGGTGTGGTCACTTCAGAGTCTCAAAAGGAAACTACGAATGCTAGAGAGTCTTGTGGTCAGAGCCCCGGGACACACAGGGACACACAGGTCCGACGGGGGAGTCTGCACGGTCTGGCACTCACCACTCCTCGCTGGGGTCCTGGGGCGGGGGGATGTCCTTCTCGGAAAGGCGCTCCTCCTCCTCGTCCTCCCTGTCCCCCGCGGGCCTGTGGGCAGCAGGTGCCCCGTTTTCCCGATGTCTGTCCATGATCTTCTGGTTGAAGTCCACCAGGTACATCTCCTCCACCTCTTCGTCTAGGACAGAAGAGCAAGTCATCAGGGCCTTCAGCGGTGCCCAGGGCTGACTCCCGGCTCTGTGCTTAGGGTCACTACCAGCCGGCTTGGGAGACCATCTGGGTGCCAAGATCAAACCAGGTTGGCCGGACGAGGCAAGCGCCCTTGCATCTGTCCTCTGGCCCCTGACACACCAGCTTTGAACACTGACACCCAGGAAGAAAACGAAACCCGGGAAGACCCAGCGGCGGGCACAAGGACCGAACCCTGCTCTCCCTGGCGGCAGGCTGCAGCCCACTGGGACGGGGACCCCAGCAACACTCTGCACAACCTTCAGCCCCAGATTCTGCTGCGGCGTCAGTGCACTGGACCATCCTGCTTCAGCAGGCAGCTCTGAGGAAACAGAACCAGCACCAAGCGACTGGGCTGGCCACACCCGGAGAGCCAGAGGCACCTCCCACACCGGCAGAGGACGCTCGGGTTCGGGCATCACCCTGGCAACTCCACGGGAGTGAGGCAGTGAGGGGTTGGAACAGGTGACCAGAGACCTTGGCCCAAGGACACACTCTCAGGCCAGGGCAGGGAACGGGGCCTGCAGGACACACAGGCCCAGAGATGCCGTCCACCCTCAGGGCACAGGGGCCAGAGCAAGGGGACAGCGGGAAGGGCGCTTGCCCTGCACGCGGCCAACCTAGGCTTGACCCTCCCCACCCCGCCCCCACCCCTGGCATCCCATATGGTCCCAGAGCCCCACCAGGAGTGATTCTTGAGCAAAGAGCCAGGAGAACCCCGGAGCATCGCCGGTGTGGCCCCAAAACCAAAACAGAAAACTTAAAAAAAATAATAATCCTAATAAAACGCACCCTGGAAGCTAACCATTTCTGACTCCAAACAAACCCAGGATGGCTGGTGTGTATGCAAATACTTTTCTGTGGAGTTTGGTTATGCCTGATTTAAGTCATCTGCTGGCTGGAGAGCCAGCTCATGGGTGAAATGTCGGCACTGCGTGTAGGAGGCCGGGTCTCCATCCCCAGCACTGCACGGTCCCAAGCACCGCCAAGAGAAACCCCCAGAACAGGGCCGAGAGCAGGCCCAACACCACTGACATGTGACCCAAAGATACCCCCAAAAAAGAGAGCCAGTGAGAAAGGAAAGAGAGAAGTCACTTGCATCTTTCTCCGAGGACAGGCCATGCCCTAGGGCAGACGCTCGGTGCCTATCAGAGGATGCGACCCCCACTCCGCTGGGGAGCAGACCTCGCCATTCATACACGCGGGTCCAGGGGGCTGGAGCAACAGTACAGCAGGGAGGGTGTTTGCCTTGCACGCGGCCAACCCGGGTTCAATCCCTGGCATCCCATACGGTCCCCCAAGCACAGCCAGCAGCAACTCCTGAGTGCAGAGGCAGGAGGAACCCCTGAGCACTGCCAGGTGTGACCCAAAAAGAACAAAAATAAAAAGGACATGCAGGTCCAATAAGCCAATCAGGAGGAGGGGGTTCGCTTGCTCAGACTCAACCAGACGTCCAGAGCTCCCCACTCCTGTGACTCTCGTGTTCCCACAGGAACTTCTTTATCGGCAAGAAACGCCTTCCCAAGTCAGGACTCGAGAGGAGAGAGACTAAAAATCCCCGGGCTGGGCTGGGCTCAGTGGCAGAGCACGGATACACTCGCCTTGCATCCGTGAGGCCCTGAATTTCAGCCCCAACCCAGCAAACAATGAAATAAACCAAGCCACCAAAACGCTTCCGGTGCATTGAGCTGCTCTCTCAGCGCTGCCTCACGAGAGCTCGGACAGCTGTGACGCCCGGACACCGGGCTCCCGACCCTGCTGCCCTCCCGGCCTCCATCCCGCCTGGCGTATACTGCACAAGGCCCCACTAGGCAGTCAGAAGCCGCTGCTGACCACACTGTCTCAGCATCAGCCCAGAGTCCGGCCAGTAGGACTCACAAGGATCGCTTTGATTTTTGTTTAAAAACTCCCTGCTTCTACAGCTGTTTTTATTTCTGTAACTATTTTAAGAAAAAAGTCACGCAAGGCGGCATGATTCACAGAAAGCAAAGAACAGACAAGCAACTGCTACTTACCTATAAAGTCTCCCTGAGTCATTTTCTCATATAATTTGGCTTTCTCTTCCAGTTTCTCCCTAGGAGAAAACCAAACAAGGTTAGAAACGGCCCCGTGGGCGCCGCTCCCGGGAAGGCCGCCCACCCCCAGCCAACGGCTGCCCCCTCTTGCAGTGGGGACGGATGAGGCGGGCAGGGACAGGCCTGGCCTCTGCTGACTCAACCCAAGCTCCAGGAGGGAGCGGCCCCTCTTGCTTGTTACTGTCACCAAGCCAAAGACACTGCCTGGATAACGGCAGGTCGCAATCACCAGCTGATTAACAAACGGATGCCAGCTTATTGTTGGGTGAAATGCAACCGAAAAGGCCTCAACAGGCTTGTGCTCAGAGCCGAGCAGAGGCAGGAGGCCCAGGGCCAGGCCGACTGGGACCCCCTGTTCGGTTTATAGGCCCCTGGGCACTGCCGCGTGGCCCTGAAGCAGAAACTAATAGGAAAATTAAAAAATCAACTATCTAGAAACATTGATTTGTGTGAGGACCCCAGTGCACGCCTCTGGGCTTCACCCATGAAGAATCAGAGAGGATTTCGTTTCATTTCTTGTTTGTTTTTATTTCTTTGGCTTGTTTGGTTCTGCGGTCCACACTGCACAGAGCTCAGGCTCACTCCTGGCTCTTGGTGGGAGCTGGGGAACCACATGTGGTGCCGAGGCTCGAACCCGGGTCAGCTGTGTGCAGGGCCTTACCCTCACTCTGGTCACTGAGAAATTCCTTTCTAGTGTCCTGGGGCACTAACACCCCCCCACCCCCACCCCCGTCACACAGTTGTACACTCTGGACAAATTCCTCAACCTCCCTGATAACTCAGTTCCCTGCACAACAGGGAATCCCATCTCGGCCTCTCGGGGGTGTGGTGAGATGGTCAGTTGGCACAGAGAGAGAGGGCATCAGTCTTGCCCCTGCGTCTCCTCTCGTCCCACGAGCCCCTCGGCAGCTCCTTCCCGGGCCCCAGCTCTCTGGGGCTCGGGTGCTGAAGGGGACAGTGACAGTGAGGAAATCCCTGGATGGGGGATTCCAGACACAGGGAAGCTGGGGAAGGCCTCGGCGCGGGGTCAGCAGAGGGGGAGGAGGTGGGCTGTCCTGCATGCACCGAGAGCTCAGGGGCCAGCTCGGTCTCAGCAAAGTTCAGCTGGCAGGTTGGCAGCCCCTACAGTGGGCACTGTGGGAGCCCAGTGCCAGGAGGGAGAGTGACTCCTGTGCACTGCGCCAAGAGCAACCCCTGAGCATTGCCAGGTGTAGCCCCCGCCAAAAGAAATTAACCCAGAGAAAATAGAGTTACAGTTACAAAAACCACAGCACAGTACCCAAATAGAGAGTAAACACCAAGAAACTATGGCACCTTTCCACAGAGCTCAAATCCCAATTAAATCCCAACTAGTGGTGACAAAGATGATCTCGAAAAGAACCTGAAAATACACCCTCCCGAGTGGGCGACACCCTGACTCATTCTCAGACTCCAAATTGCTGACGGAACTTGGCAGTTTTCAGTACATGGCGTCTGCAAAAGAGCGCGGGGTTCTGAGACTAGTGGCACTGCCAACGGCGGGAGGAGAGAATGACAAACACCGAGGATGAAAGAAAGGAGAAGCAGCCCGATCTTGAAACCAACGTCAATGCAGTGAACCAGTAAGAGGCAGCTGATAAGGCGATCAGCTGAATCACGTGATCAAACTCGCCATCACCAATAATGCTGTTTTCTGACAGGAAGCACCCCAGTCGTGTCCCTGCGAGAACGCGAACCCCGCGCCTCGGGTGTGCCCGGACCACCGTCAGCCCGAAGCTGAGTGTGCGCAATCTCTTGACAAATACCAACTGGCACGACAGACGAAAAGGAAAGCTAAGGGGAACTGTTCTAGATTTAATAGAGACCAAAGGGTTCTGAGGACGAAAGGCAATGATAATCTCCACCGAGTCTTGCTACGTTTCAGGGTGAGTTTCTGATCAGGTCCTCACCCAGCAGTGCTCAGGAACCCAGAGGCAGCAGGAATCCAACCCTGGGTCTCGCACAAGACCAGCGCTCTGCCCTCGAGCCACACCCTGGCCCTCTGAATTCTGACCTGTTCTACACTCTAGAGGACTTACTCCCAGCAGGCGCTCAGGATGGGCACTCTCACGCACAGCAACTCTGATTCTTGGCCAAGCCGACTTGTTCAGTGCAAGCACCCGAGGACACCATGTTTCTGGGGCCCTGAGCTGCTGGATTTCCAGGGATAAACCCAGAGGTGCTCAGGGGACCAGGGCAGGCCGTGTACAAGCGAGCACTGTTACCCTACATCATCTGTCGAGTCCCTAAACAACTTGACCACACTGTGGTAATCGGTGAACTCAGACAGGGCGATAGAGTTCATACTATTAATCTATCATTAGAACTTTGAGGGGCCGGAGGTGTGTGGGGACTTACCTTGCATGCGGCAGACCTAGGCAGGATCCCTGGCACCCCATATAGTACCCTAAGCCTGTCAGGAGTGATCCCTAAGAACAGGACCAGGAGTAAGTCCTGAGCACAGCTGGGTGTGGCCCAAAAACTAAAAAAAAAAAAAAAACAACAACAACAAAACCACCAACTTTGTTGAGGAAGAAGAGACAGTGCAAGGTGCAGAGTATTGCCTCTAACCTGTGGCTTACCCGCGATCCATCCCCGGCACCCCCCTCAGCCCCCCAGCACCACCAGCAGTGATCCCTGAGCACAGACAGAAACAAGTCCTGAACACTCCCAAGCGTGACCCAAACATGAAACAAAACTTTGGGAGCTTGACAGCAGAGCAGTGATCACGGCCTCATTCTTAAGACAATAAATACTGAAATAGTTCAAGTATCAAGATGCTTAACAAAAAATCTCCCCATAAAAAGCAAAAAATATATAAAGTGAAGAATGCTAGAATGTTTTTCAGTCTTTCAATTATTCTGTTTAGAAGTTTGGAAAAAACACCAGGAAGGAAATTTTAGGGCCAGCTCCTAAACTAACATCATACGACCCGGGGGGGCGGGGTTGGGGGGAACATCACCATGACAGACCATTGCAGACACGTCCCAAGAACCTGGGGTCTGACAGAGGTTCCAAGGAGGACTCTGACATTTCTCCTGGCGTTCAAGAGACCGTGCGGAGGGTGGGCTCAACCCAGGGCCCCAGACGCAGAGCTGCCTCCTCTGCCCCTTTCAGCTTAGACCGAGAGGAAGCCTTGACTTCCTACAGGGCTACACGCATTGGGATTTCTAGAGCAGTTTTTGCAGGTAGTTGGCCGGGAGGACAACCAGACAGAAGGAAGAGAATCAAATGTCCCGCTGAGCTTCCGTTCCTGGGGTGGCGGCCTCAGAGGACGCTCTTCTCACTTTACCTCGCCTTGTCTAACGTCTTCTGCTCCTCGATCTTCTCCTCGGCATCCTTCTCAGCCCGGCTGGAAACCCCTGCATTCTGCTTGGTCCAGATACTCGGTTTCTGGAGAATCATTAAAAAAGACAAAATAAACCATCTGATTGCAAAAACTGATTGAACAGCTGAAGAATAAAACCGGAGAGATAATTAGCGCTTCTCGCTCAATGGGGATAATTAGGCCTGGGAACAGCCAACCAATGTCTTGCAAAGAGACTGTGTAAGGCAAAGCTCTTGCTGGGGAAAATAAAACCTACAAAGAATTGCTTTGTGAAATTACAGTTACTTCTCTACCTTTTATCTACTGAATGGTTACAACCTAATTCAAGACTCTGATGAAAATGTATGCCTGAGAGAATTACTACTATAAATAACAACTAAAATTAGAAAAACACATCTCTTAAAGCTCCTGATATTTTCTGCTATATTTCCATACTACCTAAACATTATAGATGTTTTTGGGTTTGGACCACACCTAGCGATGCTCAGGGGTTACTCCTGGATCTGCATTCAGGAATCACTCCTGGTGGGGCTCAAGAGACCATATGGGATGCCAGGCACTGAAGCCAGTGTTCAAGGCAAGTGCCCTCCTCGCTATGTTATCACTCGGTCCCAACATTTCTAGATTCGTAACACCTAGAAGGCTCTCCACAATCATCCATGGAAAAGTACGCAAACCACAAAGCATGTACTTTAGTATATAAAGCCTATACAATTAAGCATATGCAATTCAGGTAGAAGTAAAAGCAGTACAATGTGCTTTTTAAAAAACTTACCAATATCCATGTTAACATTTAACACACTTCACATAGATGATAGAACAAAAAATGGAAATTTTCTCTTATTTATGATATTGCCTATTTATATATTTACAAATTCCTATAACTATACAATATCCTTATTTATAATATCCCCCATCATGATATTTACATGAAGTAGGTATCATGACCACTTTGAAAAAAACCTAAGTTAAATTCTCCCTTGTTCAAAACCCAACGATCAGGACTAGAGCAGCAGGGCGGGCATTTGCCTTGCACGCAACCAACTGGGTTCAATCCCTGGCATCACATGTGGTCCCCTGAGAACTGCCAGGAATAATTTGAGTGCAAAGCCAGGAATAATCCGTGAGTGTGTGACCAAAAGGAAAACAATCCCAAACTCCCAATGACAATACTTATTTTCACCTTGTTAGTTGTTTTTGGTTTCCCCAAAACTCCAGAATCTTTTAGGAGTTTTTCTTGCTTGAATTCTTCTTGTTTCCGGAAGAGTTCGGCCTTCAGGTCCACCAACTAGAATAAAACCCAGAAGCAAATGAGAACACGAAATCAATTCTGGTGACCAACTAGTGTTCGAAGTTACCATTCCCAAAACAAGATTTCAAGTTCCTATAAATGGGCAAACATGAATACAAAATTAACGGATTTAAAAAGCAGACTCCAGTACAAAAACACAGGCTCTCTTTCTTTCCAGCTCGGCTGACAATCCATTCCTTTGACAGGTTCAACCTTCAAAGGCTTTGACCCCTGGCAGGGGAGAGGGGAGGGCCGAGGAAGGTCGATGCAGGGGGGGCTCCGGCAGTGGTTGCCATGAGGCACCTTCTCTGCCCGCACCAGCCCTGGCCTCTGCACAGGGTAATCTCATCGCACGCCCAATTTATTATTTTGTTTTGTTTTGCTTTTATTTTTAATTTTTATCATTTTTTATTTTATAAAGTAGTTCACAATATTTCATTACATTAAATATTCAAACACCAATCCCACCACCATTACCCCTTCCCTTCCCACCACCGTATATCGGGTGTTTCCATCCCAAACCCCAATCCCTTGCCCCAAAGCAGAACGGAAATAATATATTTTATATTGTTTGTTATGAAAAACCACTGAAAATATTACAAAAATGTATTCTTAGAGGAAAAAAGGTGAGGACTGCTGTATTCCACCCAGAGGCAATTAAGTCCTTCTTTAAGAGATTACTAACATGTTGTTAGAAGTTGAGCCTTGTGTGCTTTTATATATATATTATATATATATTATATATATAGCACTGTAGCACTGTCCTCCTGTTGTTCATTGATTTGCTCAAGCGGGCCCAGTAACATCTCCATTGTGAGACTTATTGTTACTGTGTTTGGCACATCGAATACGTCATGGGTAGCTTGCCGTGCAGGCAAGATACTCTCGGTAGCTTGTCGGGCTCTCCAAGAGGAGCAGAGGAATCAAACTCAGGTCGGCAGAGTCGGCCGCGTGCAAGGCAAATGCCCTACCCGCTGTGCTCCAGCCCCTATATGTGTGTGTGTATATATATATATATATATATATATATATATATATTATCACTGTCCTGTCCTCCCGTTGTTCATCGATTTTCTCGAGCGGGCCCAGTAACGTCTCCACCGTGAGACTTTGTTGTTACTGCGTTTGGCATATTAAATACGTCACGGGTAGCTTGCCAGGCTTTGCCGTGCGGGCAAGATACTCTCGGTAGCTTTCCGGGCTCTCCAAGAGGGGCGGAGGAATCGAACTCGGGTCGGCCATGTTGGCTGCATGCAAGGCAAATGCCTTACTCGCTGTGTTATCACTCTAGCCCATATATTTATATATATATATGTATATATATATGTAAAAAAAATTGGTTGCCTCCTACTTTGAACTCCATCAAATGTGGTGCGGTACTCTTGGAGTATGGGTAGGTGTATAGTATGAAGTTTCGCGCAGCTGCAAATGTGGCCACACAGTTCACTAATAGATTCGCTCAATTTATTATTTCTAGAGGGAACCGCCTGTGCTTACCAGCTGAGAACCCGCACATGCCTGGCACTTAACACTGAGGAGCAGGATACACTCATGAACAACACCCACTCATGCCTCAGAGACTCATCTAACTAGCAGGGCAGAGTCTGACCCCAGGGAGATGAGATGCACACCATGAACTGTGGGCGCCAGCCACAGGGAGCCTTTCCTATGGCCCGAGTCACTGGAAGCAATTGGAGTGGAGTCTTCAGGATGAGAAACAAGACTCTGGGGCTGGAGAGACAGCACAGCGGGGAGGGCGTTTGCCATGCACGCGGCCAACCTGAGTTCGATTCCCAGCATTCCATAGGGTCCCCTGAGCACCGCCAGGAGTGACTCCTGAGTGCAGAGCCAGGAGGAACCCTTGTACATTACTGGGTGTGACCCAAAAAGAAAAAAAAAAAGAGAGAGAAACAAGACTCCAACAGCCAGAAATAAAGGGCACGGGGGGAGCAATGAAGAACAGCGCCTCGCTGCTGTCTGCCAGAGCGGAACCTCAGGTTCCAGAAGGGAAATTCTGGGGGCCCAGAGAGATAGTAAAGAGGAGAGGGTGTTTGCCTTGCACACGGCTGACCCAGGTTCGGTCCCCCGCAATCCCATACAATTCCCCAAGTTACCACAGGAGGCATTCCTAAAAGCAGAGCCAGGATTAACTCTGGCGCATCGCCAGGTGTGGCCCAAAAACAAAAAAAGGAAGGGGAAATTCAGGAGACTGCAGGGATAGTACTAGTGGGTAGGGTGTTTGCTTTGCACATGACTGACCAGGGTTCCATCCCAGGCACCCCTTTCGGTCCCCCCATTCCACCCCTGCCTGACAGGAGTGATCCCTAAGTGCAGGTAAAATCCAACAACAAAAATGTGAAATTCCAGCGAAGGAAAGGAAACAGGACAGCTGGGCAGATCGCAGTGCCTGTGCCTCAGCTTTAGCAGGAGGGAAACCGGCAAAAGGATGGTTTACACACACACACACACACACACACACACACACACACAGAAATTGACCTCTTGTAAAGCTCCCTTCCAGAGCCCAACAGATTTGAGCCCAGTGATCACCAATGTGGAGGGAATCGATTGAATCGTAGCAGACCACAGGGGCAGGGCTGCAAAAGCTACAAACTTTTTAACAAAATCTTTCCCGTTGGAGACCAAGGTGTCTCAGAGGCCACACACAAGGCCAGCTCCCCCCACCGCCCCCTCCCCTTCTCGGCCCCCCGGTCCTGCTTATTTCCCAGCCAGGCGTCATCTCCCCTCTCGGAACCGCCCCGCTGAGTCGGTCCCAACAGCTCGACTCTGCGGCTTTTCGGTGCTTCACCCTGAAACACAGGAACTGTCCCACTTCTCGGTGCCGGGGCACTCTGGGTGCTCCCCCTGGTCCCCCCTGAGTGAGCGGCAATAAATTCCCAGCTAAGACACCGGGCGATGACACCTGCTCTGACGTCGTGGCCGAGACGCGAGTCCAGCCCGGGTCCCCCGGGAAGAACCGTGTAAGGGCGGTGACCGGCTGCCTGCGCCCGGGGAGCGGGGCCGGACGGACAGCCTGGGGGGCCTGGGTCGCCGACCCCGACCCCGAGCCCGCGCCCCGCTCTGCCGTCCCAAGGGCCCTCGGGCGGGCAGGGCCACTGCTGACCGCGCAGCCCCAGGCCAGGCTCAACATTCGGCCCTTCGGCGCCTTCCGGGTGCCCGAGTGAGAAACAACGTCGTCCGTGGGGCCCGTGTCCTCCTTTAGACCCGTACTCACAGAGGACGCCGTCACGTCCAGGGGCTTTTTCCTCCGGTCCATGGTCGCGCCACGGAGCTCGAGCCCGGAGTGGACGCCTGCCTCGTCCCCGGAGGCCTCGATGTCAATTTCCGGCGCGACCGGAAGATGTCACAAGCAGAGCGACGTGAAGTTTACGGCGTGGCGCCATCTTGAGAAGGTAACATGTGATGTGTCTGACGCCACTTTGAGAAGGTCAAAGAGGCCCAAGATTGAAGCTACTTGCGTTAGCCATCTTGAAGAGGATGAAGCTCAAGGGAGTGGCGTGGGTGCCATCTTGAGAAGGGCGGAAGTGATTTGAAGAGCGCGGACGCCGCAGCCATATTAGGTGGCAGGTTGGATATGGGCGATGGCGCCATGGTGGGGAGGTCAGAGCGCCCTCAAAAAAATAAAATAAAATAAAATAAAATATAAAACCACTCTTGGAACTGGAGCGATAGTATAACTGGTACGGCGCTTGACTTTCCCGCGGCGGACTCAGGCTCCATCCCCGGCAACCCACCTGACAACCCACATGGTCCCCCCAACCCGCCGGAAGTGATCCCTGAGCACCAATGGGTGTGACCCAAACAAGAGCTTAATAACTTCTCTGTATCTGTTTGCAAATGGGAATTCTTTGGAGGGTTTGAGAATTAAATGAGTTCAATGAGCCATTGATAATGATAATAATAGCAATAATGACTGTGGTAGGCAAAAGATTATCATAACATCCTATGCCTAATAATACCGAGGTGTGTGTGGTAAAAGGAAACTTGCAGCTAAGAGAGGAGATTATTGGTGTCGACCTAATATCCTCCTAAGGGTTCGTTATTGGTCATTGGTACCACACCCAGAGGCGCTCAGGGCTTATCGCTGGCTTTGTGTGCAGGGTTCACTTTTGGAAGTGCTCAGGAACTATATGCAGGGCCCTAGATCAAACCAAGGTTGGCTTCACGCAAGGCAAAACACCTTACCCACTATATCCCCCTCTGGCCTCATCGGGGTTGTTCAAGAGGAGGCAGAAGGGTCAGAGTTCATGAATGCCATCAGTGTGGGAAGAAAGAGAATGGGTCACCTTCCAGGAAGTCACAGTCTCCAAACACAAAGGTGGCCATCCTCCTCTAGCCAGCAATAGTACCTGAGTGCAGTACTCGCTGGCAGACCCCTGTCAGACATCTCCACTGCATATGGTCTTCTGAGCACCATCAGGGATCACTGCTGAGAACAGAGCCAGGAGTATCACCTGAGCACCACTGGTTTTTGAACCCCAAATCCTAAAAGAAAAAAATAGAGTCTCCCTCGGGGAAGCAGCCCGGCTGACACCCTTGATCTACCAGTGAATCTAGTGTGACTTGCTTGCAACACTTTCCAACTTGCAAACATTTGCAGGAGGTGTTACAAACTTCCTTGGTGTGTCTTCAGTGGCAATTTCTTCCAGCAGCAATAAGAAACAGAAAGAAATGGCAATGTAGCATTGCTGTCTATGCAGGCATATGTCATTATGTTCATATTTGTACAGATCCAGGAGGTGGGAGTGATTACCCTCAATTGCCAGAGGGGAAACTGAGACCCCCGGAGGTTCAATGATTAGCCACAGGTCATTTGCCAGCTAGCAAGTGATGGAGCCTGGAGACAAGAAGAAAAATAACAAACCTCAAAGACGTTGAGTTATTGTGCTGTTTACTTACAAGAGAAGAGCCAGGGGGCTGGAGACATAGTACAGCTGATAAGGCCGTACCCAGCCTGGGTTCAACCCCCGACATCCCATGTGGTCCCCAGAGCACTGCAGAGTGATTCTGAGTGCCGAGTCAGGAGTCAGCCCTGAGCATCACCAGTGTGACCCAAAAACTTAAAAACAAAGAACCACAGGTTGACTGTCTAAAAGAAAAGAGTTTCTATCAGAGAAAAGAGAACAATTTAGAATGAGATGAGAATGTGAACTTTGTTTACCATTTTAATTCCAAGAAAATCACACAGAATCTCCTTCACACATACACACATAGAGACACACAGATACACACACACACACACACACACACACACACACACACACACTGAGGTCTGGAGAAACACGTGCAGTTCTGTCTTGGATTGGTGGAAAGTGCCCCTGCCTTGCCAACAGTTTCCGTTTCCTGTCTCATCCCATCTTCCTCTCTCTCTCTCTGTGCTACTCTCCAGTCTGGCTGGGGAAGTGTCTCCCTGGACGGACTGGAGCCCCAAAGACTCCTGTCCATCCAGGGACAGTTGCTCTCTTTCTGCCTGTCTCAACGCACAACTTGGGCCATAGTTTCCCGTACAAGGACCCGGATTTGTTCCAGATCCACAAGTCTAGGACAGAGTGTGGGGATTCCTCCCACTGCACCCCTCCAGTTCCCTTGAGCACACCGCAGGCCACCCCCCTCCCCGTCCTCTTGCTCAGCTGAGGTGAGATGAGGCGGCCTGGACCTGGAGGGCCCAGCGCCTGCATCCCTCTGCTGCGAAAGCTCAGCTCAGCTCAGCGGGTCTTCTCACCGCAGAAGGCTGGCGCCTGTCGGGGCCTGTGTTCTGACACTGCATATTTTGCAGTGCTAGTCCCCACCGTGCTGGGTGGCAGGAGGGTGGGCCTAGGTGTGAGATCAATTTTCTTCTCCTCTCTCCCTGTTTTAATTGTCAACCCGCCAAAGTGCTTTAAATAAAAAGGAGGGGAGGAGAGCTTGTCACATAGACAAATATCTTTCCTCCTTTTTTGTAAAGGAGCCTACAAATCAGGGTGGTTTTTTGAGCTTGGAAGTTTTATTTTATTTTATTATTTTTATTTTTTGCTTTTGGGGTCACACCCGGCAATACTCAGGGTTTACTCCTGGCTCTGCACTCAGGAATTACTCTTGGCGGTGCTCAGGGGACCCTATGGGATGCTGGGAATCGAACCCGAGTCAGCCGTGTGCAAGGCAAACGCCCTACCCGCTGTGCTATCTCTCCAGCTCCGGGAGGGGGTGATTTTTTGGGGGGAAGAGCGTTGGGGCTGGTCTTCCTTTTTCCTGCAGTCCAAGGGCTCACCAGGGCATGACGGGGCTCTGCAGCCTGGGGTGCCATTGTCCTGCTTTCATTGCTGGCTGAGTCCAGATACTGGATTCAGGCTTGTGAGCTGTTTCTTTGAATACCCGGTTTCCTCCAGCTCCGAGTGTCTCTTCCCCATCTCAGCCTTACCCCCATTCCGTCTCTCGTACACGGTCTCCAAGAACAAATGACTCAGGAGCGGGTGGATTAGCAGAGCCCGGCATGAGAGAAGAGGCGAGGCTGAGTCTACAAGAAATTAAGCTCTCAGCCTCAGGAAGAGAAATAAGAACCCAGGTCTCAGGCCCCGGGTGACGCAGAAACAAAATTTCCCCAGAGCAGGTGGGACCTCTCAGATGGGCTTATCTCGACCTGCCCCTCCGGCTGGGCGCTGTTCTCATTTTGTGGGTGATGAACCAGGGACACAGAGGAGTGAAGTGCCTTGTGTGAGGTCACACAGCAAGTGTCAGTCCCAGAACTGGAGCCCACCAGCCTCATTCCAGGAGATTCTCTTCTCCTGTGCTTCGGGGTCCAGATAATCGTCGCATTGAACACTGCATCCATCCACTGGACACTGTCACAAGAGTTGGAGCATTTGCTCAGGAGGGACCCACCATCCGGCCACAGACCTCATCTGACGCTGGACTCCAAGGGAAGAGGCCGCAGCACCCCAGGAATGCTCTAACTGCGTCATGCCATTTTCTTCCCCATTTAATACACTTACATTGTCTTATTTGTTTGTTTTGTTTGGGGGCCACACCTAGCTGTGTTCAGGGCTTGCTCCTGGCTCTGCACTCAGGGATCACTCCTGAAGGGGCTTGGGAAGCATATGGGATGCTGGGGATCGAACCCAGGTCAGCCGTGCGCAAGGTAAACGCCCTCCCCGCTGTGCTATGACTCCAGCCCAAACCATGAGGTTCTTACTGGCCAATAGAACACTCCTCCCCACTATGAGAAACCTGGAAGAGGGACGAGGCTGACCTCCAGGGCTCTGTGGACCTGCCCCTGGGGTATGCGGAATGTCAGGATTGGGGGCAGGAGGCTGAGACCCGGGACATGGAATGGCTCATGCATCTTGAACTATGAGAACTTGGTCATCAAAGTTGCCTGGATGTGCCGCCCTTGGCTTAGAACTGCGAATAAGCGGTGAGCCCCAACAGTGCTCCTGGTTTTTGACTTACTCACCCATCTTGCCTGAATCGCCACCTGACAAGCAAAGCCGCTGAAATCCCCTTTCTCTAGGTGAGGCTCAGAGACGTTTAGACACTGGCCCAAGGCTGCCCAGCGAGGTAGTGATGAGATTCAAAACTAAGTTGTTCTGGTTCCATGGCCCATGTGATGCTTTGGAGTTTTTCTACGTAGTAAATTCTGGCAACTTCTTTTGGCTGATGGTGGGTGGGGTGGACTCCCGCGCAGTGCTCAGGAGACCCTGGGCCCCCTTCCGGTGAGTCTAAGCCAACTGGACCAGCAGCCTATGCAAGGGCCCGGTGGTATGGCACTGCTCAAGCCCTGCCGGGCTGGGGATCTCCTGAGTGACCTGCGCAGTGCTCGTGAGCCTCCATGGTAGGGGACAGCAGGTGCTGACTAGTGAAGCGGGGTGATTTGGTACACAGTGAGCACCTCAGCTGCGTGCTACCTCTCCAGCCCACAGACCAGCATCTTTCTGAGCTTGTTCTAAAAAGCAAAGCTCGCTGAAGCGACAATGCAAGGAGCTTACCTTGCGCGCGGCCATCCCGGGTTCAACCTCCGGCACCCCGTGGGGTCCCCGGAGCCTGCCAGGAGTGACCCCTAAGAACTGGGCGCTGCAGGGTGTGACCCCAACCCCCAAAGAGTTAATTAGTTTAATTAAATAAAGAAGCAAAACCAGGAGAGCCTTTTGTTTCCTCCCAACGCTGGGATTGATGGGGTCAGGTCACCTGGAAATGGGCTCAGGGAAACCAGAGCACGCGCCCCTCACTCCGCACCCCCACCCCGCTCTGTGTTTGGGTAGCAAACGCCTTCCCCAGAGAGTGCGTGTTTGCACACCCGCAGCATCTGCTAGGGGAGGGTGGGGAGGCGCCATCCCCCCTGC